TTATTCTTTGTTTTTTTTTTTTTTTTTTTTTTTTTACTTTGTTCTTTCTTCTGATGAAAATCTCGAAGTAGAAGACTTTGAATTCGAGCCAACCGAGAAAATATCGAGATTTTTGCGAATTCGGGAAATTGTCTCACTTACCGGGGTATATCTCCAGTTTCTTCGCCTCCGCGAGCGCATCCTCGCGAAGGACCTCGTGCTCAACGACATACTGAATGTTGGGATGTTGGTGCACTACCGTGATTGCCTCGAGGTCACCGAGGATCAGTAAGAGCGTCAATATACCAATCGCACCGATCATGCTAGCGTCGCCTCGTTTCTCATCTTCGATGAGAACCGCTTCTCCTCTCAATGGTGACGAACGTCTCGCGTCTCGATTTCCTCACGTGGGTGAAGCACTTCCTGTCGAATTCAAAAATTGGAGATTAGCCAATCGCCGATCGCGAGCTGTTAATTGTCGAAATGTTTCTTCGGAAAAAAATGTTCAAAATTCTCTGAAACAAAAGCCACTTCGCGGTATAAATCTGACGACAAAAAAAAAAAAAAATGTCAATTTTGCAAATTACATTCATCTATGTCCGAATAAAACCGCACGCAAACACGAGCGAGAGATTAGACGCAAACAAACAACGAGCTCTCGCTGCATGCGCTTCTTCTGCGGCCCGAATTTTAGTCGAGCGCACAATGAAGCAACTGTCGCAACCGGAAGTGCACGAAAGATACAGTGATATGAGAGTAAACAGGACAACGTCGTTCACGTGATAAAGATTACACCATACAATTGTTATGCCACGCATGAATTCTACCTCGTCGAACAAAGTTTCCTTAATGCTCGGTTTTAACGTGTCTTTTTGTTTTTTTTTATCTTGTACATTTATTTAAAAACTGAACAATTGTGTTCGGAGAAGGGATTTCGTTCTATAGATATTGTCAAAATTGAAAAGATATATAATAAAGAAACAAACCAGAAATATATCAAACAAAAAAGAAGAAATAGAATATGTCAACTCTTAAAAACCAAGCTTTGACTTGGAAAATTTTCTCGTCCTTTTCCTTGTCACAAGTGAAATAATTAATTAATTCTTCGCGCTGTGAAAAAAGAATTCACACTGTTTCGAATTTACCGCGACGTACTCTTTTAATCTCGCATAAACTTTTTGTGTAAACTACTACTCCAGATAAGGATCTACATGTCACACGCATCTGTCTACTATCTGCAATATTTGATTTGGTTTTGATTAAGATGTTAATCTCAAGTGGCAAGAGGAGATAGTATCTAGTTTTTTCGATACGATTGTTACACGCCGGAATAAGAAACATCAAGTGTTTTTCTTTTTTTTTTTTTTTTTTTAGAGTAAAGCAGTGTTCGTTGTTACTGTTGTTCAGTTTCTTTCGCCACGTTTTTTTCACTCCGATCTTTTTCGAAGCTCGAGCTCGTTGTTATTTTTACGATCTATCCGAAACATCTGTCTTGAGCGGTTTCGGCGAGCGAGACACGTGATAAAGATATCACTTTTAATTTAATGCGCTCGCTCTATTTCATTTTGTGTACGTGCAAAGAAATCGGCTGTTGTCACCGCGATCCTCCCGCGCAAGTGCGTGAACCGTGTGTGTCTCAGGAAGTCCGCTCAAAATTTTGAAAGATTTTAATTATGTATAGTTTTATTATGTATTTTATTTCAATTTATTTACTTCGCAAGATTTATTTTTTTTTATACACGTTATTTAATTATTGAAATAAAAATATTACAAAACAATTTCTGTAAAGTTTAAGGTAAGAAATTTTTGAGAAATCCGTTCGATAGGTTTGTTTGTTCTAATATTAAATAAAATTTACTCTCATCAAATGTGTTACTTGTTGACAAATTGAAAATGTTTCAAGTGTGTCTATAAAAAAACGTGAAAGAGTAGTGAAAATAATTTATGAGAAGTACGCGATTGGACAATTTTGTTCGTAAATTCTGTCGGACGCAAGATTTTTCATCGTCAGCTTCGTCGGATGTGAAAAACAAAGATAGAACACGAATTTCGTAACAACATCGAGCGATTTTTAGCTGCATAATTGATCGTTGCATCTGTTCTCGGTAACGCGGGATCGATACTTGCTTTTAAAATTCAAGAGTGCACACGCGGAAAGACATCGGCGGTATGGCACGGAGGGGTCTTTTGATATCGATCGCCTCGATTCGCCCCGTTCCCAACTCTGGAGATGATTCATCCCCCGCTAGTCGCGACTTAAATTCGGCGCACCCTCCGGAATTCGCTCCCTCTCTTACCCTTGACAGCCGGCGACGCGACATTGGCGAACTCGTTTTTTTTCGCGAAGTTAACCACCAGAGACCAGCATTTCCCTGTACGAGATCGAATGCCGAAAATCGTCGGAATGCGTATTCGTAGAATTTTAGTGTGTTTTAAAATCATATAATGTTTTTTTTTATTGCCGCGATAAAAATTTTACATAAAAGCTGAACCGACGTTTTATACCCGTAATAAAAAACGAAGCTATATTTTTATTTGCCTTCCTTACCCGAGCGATATTTATTATAATCCATCGGAAAAAGAACTCTCTTTGCTCGCAGAACTTTTTGATAGTTTGTTTTTTTTGTTTCGATTTTACTACAGTTTTCTGTCTTCCGAAGAGCGAGAACGCGGATTGTACATTGGCCGACGTTCTTGACGATCGCGTTACGTCGTAAAAAGACGATAATGCTAGAATTCAACTCAAGTTGCACGCGTGTCGTGACTCACGGAGCCTGATGACAGCCATTCATTAATTAGAGCCAATTAAGGGCGGCCTGCGCGAAACGTGGACTTCTTGCCCTCTGAAACAAGAAGGTGGCGTCTCCACGGCGTCTCTTCCTGCCCGATGCTATCGTAGCTTCGCAAGCGACGCAAACCGCACGTATATATTTTTCGGTCGTGACGAAGCGGACGCTCGAAACGTAATTAAGGGCATTTGACGGAGGGACAGGATACGTTTTATTCACTTTAGGAAATTACGGTCGAGTAAGGCTTAAGTTTTTCAAAACACGCACAAAAGATACGTTGAGAGGCAGGAAACGATATGTTTTGAAATGCGATATTTTAAAGATTAGAAGAAGTAGATTATTTCGTAGACAATGAAATGTAACATAATAAAAACTCAAAAGTTGTTTAAAATTCCATTGTTTCGTTTGCGCTAACAAAAAATGTTTTTGTTAAAATATTTATGTAATTATAAAACAAAATATTTGTATTTTATATTTATATTCTTTTATTTTGAATTTTCTAATCTAAAAATAAATTTATTTAAATGTAAATTGTGCAACAATTGATAATGAATTTATAGTATTTTGGTCGATTTTTAACTTGTTTTTAATTTCAAATATAATATTAACCAATTGTCCATCGTCATCAAAAAGTGTTAGTTTTGAAAACGTATATTTGCAATTTTTTAAACATATTTACCGTACAAGTTTGTCGCAAAATGACACGTGTTTGAAAATTCGAATTAAATCCCGAGTCAAATTCCTATCGCACCGGTATGTGAAAACAGTGTCAAGTGATGCCGTCTTTTTTTTTGTTTTGAGTTGATACATGTTCGACGAATAACACACGCACGTAAGTGTTATAACAGAGCTCAACTTCTTCGTAATTCTTACCAGCATTTCGTGAAATATCCAATAAGAATTTCCACCGCGTCGTATCGTTTTCACAACATTACTCGCCGCTTGAAAAATTGCAATTGTTCAGTTTTCACGATTTGCTTTCAAAAGCGGCACCGGAGCAAGGTAAATCAAGCTCACCTGTGCTGCCGCACAGTTCACACGAATTTTTTTTTTTTTCGTTGCTGCGAAGTAACGTCCTCGACGAAAGTGTGTTCAAAATATTCGAATAGTATCGCGTATCTATGCAAACGAATGCCGGATCGCCAATTGAGATCGTGAAAAGCGCCGTGTAGCGGCGATGGCGACAAATGGCGGAAAAGCGAAGCGGACGGAACGACCGTCGAAGACTGCGGACCGCGTTGAACTGCGGTTCGAGAAGGGCTGAAAAGAGTCCCAGCCGCTCCACCACACCACCTTCCGGTGCCGCTTCTGTTAAACGCGCTGCTGGAAGTCCGTCTCCGCTTGTAATGTAAATACGAGCGAGCATATAAACGTGACCAAAAGATTAAATTATCATCGTGTTGCAATATTACATAAATTATCATATAAATAATAATTATAATACATAATAAGGATTTTATATTATTGTGACAAAAAACATTAAAATTAATAATTAATTTGCATTAACACGACAAATTGCTAATATTTTTTCATGAATTTTATCAATTGATACAAAATATAAATTAAAAAAAAAAAGTAAAAAAGAAATCAGGACGTTTGACTGTACTTCGGTCATTAATACAAAATCCGTAATTGCTTTTGTGTTGTAATATATTTTTAAAGACTTTACATCAGTTTCATCAACTTCATTTATATTCTCAGTTTTCCATTTGATCTTTGAGGAAGTTGCGTTCTGTGATACTTTACTCTCTTGAAGCCAAACAGGTCAAATTCTCTCTTTAAGTATCTCCATATGTTACTCCATATGTATGTATCTCCATACGAGAGAGTCCATTAGAGGAGTGTAACAGCACGAAAGCAGGGTGAGTTTGCACACAGAGAGAGAGAGAGAGAGAGAGAGAGAGAGAGAGAGAAGGGAGCACGTACGTGCGGTACGAAAATAGCGCCTCTTATTGTATGTACACGCAAAATAATGTAAACGCGAAAAGCCGGCTTGGTGTTCTGTTGCAAATTCGAAACGCGTACGTCAGTTTAATGGCAGCGCGTTCGACCATGCGACGAAGAGCACGTATCGCTTCGCTATTAATAGCGCGCCACTATGATAACAACATTTTATTTTATCAAATTATTATTTATTCGACGTGTAGTTTACCAACTACTTTCTTAGCAACTTCATTAATTTTTGTACAGAATCTGTAAAACCACAAAGCGCGATACAGGTATCATAAAACTCAAGCTAACATGCTTCCGAATTTGCAACATCGGTTATTGTTTGTCAATTAGTTACATCATTTAGTTATTTCGAGCGTTTGGATCTGTTTGTATATTGTTTTCTATATTATCGGAAAGAAGTCGATAAAAAAATTGATGAGTTGTATTGTGTTGTATTGTGTTTAAGGGTCGCAAGTATTTAAATGTCGGTTGAACATTTTATGTCTTCAGTGAGTAGCTCACGTACGAATGAACGATCAATTGTCGTGACGACAATTTCGGGCGTTAAAAAATTATACGGATCTTCACAATAGTTTCAGAAAAAAAGACATTTTTCTTCCTGAAGAAATTCAAAGCTGTGTATGTTTCTTCAACCATAACGAGGGAAGTATGTATGTAGGTGAAACACACACCTGTAATTATTTTTTATCTGCGCTGTCACGCTTTTTTCCATCCATCTGTCCACGCTGACTAACTATACGAACAAGTTCGGACGAATCGTGCACGAACGAAGGTCTTGGCACGACGAACGCAACATGCTGGCGCAGACACCTGGCCACGATGAGATAGCGGATGTGTGCGGGTCGCTTTATGATGGCGAGCTCGTAAAAGAGAAGTCCCGAGGGTTTCGCCGCACAATGAAAAGGGTCGCCCGATGTATGTTAGTAATCAGGCGAGAGTCCTGTTCTGTCCCTTCATCAATCCTCGAAAAATTCTACGAACCTCGTTCCTTTGTGTTCATCTTCTTTTGTGCGTTACATGAGATGTATGTGGAAAATTGTATAATATAAAAAATAGTCAAGTCTCGGACACACGTATCTCTTCTTTTCTACATAGATTTCAAGTAAACTGTATATTCATATACATATATGTATATATATATATATGCTACGAGAGACTTTGCTCGAAATGAAATTTCGAAACTTATTTGCGGAGAAGAATTCATTAAAGAAAAGATTGACGTTGCGGCGTATGGTCGATGTTACAGGTTTTGTGGTACTGCTTCTATTATTTTAGCTCATCGATTCGAGCTTCGTTCGAACTCATCACATCCGATACCGAAGATGTTCACTTTAGTTCAACTGTATAGAAAGTCTTTAAAAATATCTCAGCGGTTTTAGTTTCTCGGCCGTTTGATATATTTCAAAAATTAAAATGTAAAAATATTACAAAAAAAATTTTCTCTAATATTTTTGTCGTCTGTTTGATTTGAGAAAAGAGGACACGCGACGAAATAAAACATTTACGTCGGTCTAGCGCGAGTTGTGAAAAGGTTTCGCTCGGAAACGTGCGTGCCACCTCCGAGCGAAAGTCCTTATATTGATCCGGGAAGTCCTGCCGCCTCTTAATTGAGAGCACGCTTGCAAGGACGCGGCTTTCTAAGGTCACGTTCGTCGCGAAAATAGAGGGAAAACTTTCGTTTCTGTCTCCGTGCACAATAATTTTCTAGACTTGAAATAAATGCTCGCGAATTTGCGATCGCTCGCGATAACCCACGTGTGTCTTGACACCGCAGTGCGATAACGAGCTCGACGAGACAACAGATAATTTCTCGTTACGAAAATGGCCAATCGTCATCGTGCGATTCTAAATAAAAAGGTCGCGCGTAAAACGATGATCTCAATATATTCCGCGAATTGATAAAAATCATCAAAAACACATTATTTCTCAACGCGATCGCGGCGTCGATCGTTTAGTCGCAAAACAAGAAGTCGATCGAGACCGTGTGATCAAAAATGCGGGGTCACGCGCGCACGCGAATCGAACGAATGACGATGACAACGATGATGATTGAAAAGCGAGGTGTGTATTTTATTTATCCTGGGCGCGTCCAACGCGATGCCCAACCCTAGCTATCACGCTCCAGATACGTTTTAATGACGACACACCCTCCCCGTGACATACGCGTGTCCCTTGACAACAATCGCGTTAAATGCCCCGTCCGCAGTCCGCTGCAATATGACGCGTCGACACGCGACAAGTCACGTTCGTCGCCGACGATAAGCAAAAATTATTGTCACCTACTCCGTCACTTTTAGAATCCGTAAAAAAGCCGATCGCGGCGTTGCACAACCTCCGGTGAATGTAATCGAGTTAACGTAATCAGCTGCAAGAAAGAATGTGCGCGCTAGTGTGTCGCGCCGAAAAACAAAAAAAAACAAAAAAAAAAAATTCCGCTCGAAGTGTTTTCGGCTACTTTCCAGATATTTCGTTTACACAATTTTGTTTCCTTCCGCGTTTTAAAGACCCGTCCGCGCGCATTATTAATCACCCGTACGCGCGTCTATTTATTTGACCACGTCGCGGAAAACGGACTGTTTGACTCCGCACTGTACTGTTTAAATTCCCGTTTGGTTTATTTAATCTCGCCGATCACTGTTAAACAGAGAGAATAGACGAAAATGAACGTGGGCGGGTGATGCACGCGCGCACTCTATACGTTTCGTAAGTGCTGATTAATTATGCAACCTTTCCGGGAAGAATCTCCGTAATCTGAGAAATCGTCTGCGAACTTGCGCCGAGACGCGCGCAAGATGATCGTTTTGAGAGCATCTCTTGTAAAGATAATAAAAAAAAAAAAAAAAACGCACAAACTATATGCGATGTGACAATTAAATTCGAGAAGCGTGTCTCAGATCATTTCTCCTCGTGCAATTTTCTTTCAATTTTATCACAATTTTACTCACATTTCTCAATATTTCGTATAAAAAGATGGTTTTTAATCTTACCTTTTTTTTTAGAATCGCTCATTGTCGTTCTCGATCGCGGACAGCATTTCTCTTTTCTTTCTTTTTCAAAAAAAATGTCATCAACAAAATCGCCGGAAATACTTCGCTCATCAAATGTCAATCAAAAGATTGACGGGCGTTGAGAGAAATGCATTCGCTCGCCAAGGTATCTGCGCATGGCGCGATACCACTGCGGCGTATCCGCGCGTTTCGGTTGGCGGCGATCCACGTGTTCTTTTCCCCGACGGACGATAACGGGACGACGGCGGGCGCGGAAATCGCGCGCGCGCGCGCGTCGATTCGAATCCCGCGCGGCCACTGTGCGCGATCTCGAGAGAATCGCGCGCATTGGATTACGTAATCGAGGACACCGCGTCGTTGCGCCTCCGTCCGATGATTACACAAGCCGCCACGGTCGCGCTATAGTGCGTGCCGCGCGTCTGCGCTCACCGCTGCTCCGAGAGGGAAACGTCAGCACTGTAAATAGAAGTGTCTGTGTGGAGAAGCGCTTCGCGAGAAACAAAGGCGCCGGCCGTCTTCGGTGTTTAGCGCATCGGCGTCGTCACACATTTGTGGAGTTTTCGAACAACGTTCTCTTTTTTCTGAAATCGACGCTTGAAATTCTAGCGTTCGCGGAAAAACAGTCGCAGAAATGGCCAGTTCTCCGGTTTTAAATCCGGTAAGTGAGTTTTTCGTCACGCCTGAGCTATACGTGTGGTTTTTGCTAACGGGATTTTCATTGATCCGCGTCGTGTCCGCAATGCCGATATTTTTTACGTCTCGAACTTTGTTAGTCACTTATTGGCGATTATTTTCTCCGCTCAAATTCTCATCACCGCTAATTGTCGTGTTGTATATTACATTAAAAATACATTACAAGCTTGAAAAATTATTAACATACGTACATTTTTATGCCGATGTAAGTGTTTGATAATTAACGATCATTATTGCGATCAATTCGACAAGCGGAGTAGCCGTGAGAAGGAATGCGCGATCTAATTGATACGCGGATTTGTTAACATTTCGCGATTACGCAGTAATCAGATCGCGAGAGTCTGCTGCTGCTATTTTTAGAAGTTTATTGCTCTCCCGCAATTTTGACCATTTTTTTTTTTTTTTTACTTTTTATCATTCTCTACGTGTTTTGCAACAGGAGATTCCGTACGTGGGAAAAGTGGAAGGAGGTCTGAGAGCGGGCACAATGGTGAAGGTACAGGGCAAGGTGCCGCCTGATGCTGTCAGATTCGCCATTAATTACCAGCTCGGACCGACGTTGAATCCGAGAGACGACATAGCCATTCACGTGTCCCCGCGCTTTTCCGAGGGTTTCGTCACGAGGAATCACATCGAGTCGATGACGTGGGGCATGGAGGAGAACGCCGGCCCGTTGTGGATCCAACCGGATCAGAAGTTCGAGATACTAATCCTGTGCGATTATCATTGCTACAAGATTGCGATAAACGGCAGACACTTCGCGGAGTTCGCTCATCGTCTGCCGTTCATAAAGGTCACTCATCTGGTGATCGACGGCGACGTCGAGGTGCACTCGATCGAGTACGAACAAGTGCCAGTCGATCCGCCTAAATCCGCAGTGCCCGGGGATGTGCCGTCCGCTGACTTCGGCCCACCTCGTAAGGAAAACAAACGCGTATTTGATTAAATTTCATAATATTGTTTTAATAATTCAAAATATTTTATTTTTTTTTTATTGTACAGCAAATATGTGAATTAGTTTTTTAAAAAGTTTTATATTTTTCTAATTTTAGAGCCAGGTGGATTGTATCCGACGATTCAGCCTGGTGGACCACCACCAGGTCCGTACGGACCTCCTCCGCCAACTGGCTACGGTCCTCCTCCCCCTGACGCATACGGTGGTTACAATCCACCAAGAGCTTACGGATACCAACCTGGTAACGACAAACCGGAGGAAGAGGGTGTCTTCGGAGATTGTCTGGATAAAGTTGGACTAGCAATAGGTGGACTGGTCGCGGCCGGAGGAGTCGCCGCTGCCATGCACGCAATTAATGTAAAGATTCACTGAAAATGTATATATTGTTACTCGCGCGCGACGCTATGCGGAATTAAAAAACTCGAGCGTGCACGTTTGCTGCTTGCAGAAAAAGAAGGAAGAGAGCGAAGAGAAGGATCACGAGAAGTCGGACGCCTCCAAGTCGAAGACGGAGAGCGAGGGCGGCTTCGGGAACTTAGCCGGGACTCTCGGGATGGCTCTGGCCAGCAGTCTGGCGAGCAACGCCTTGCAAGGCAACACACACGCACAGCAAGGCTATCCTCCTCAGCAGCAATCAAGTGGCGGCGGTGTATTAGATTCTATTTTTGGAGCATTAGGTAAACACACACATACGCAGTATATTTATATACATGTTCTAACAAGTTAAAAAAAATTAACACGTAATTCGATAGAATCGATATCTCAAATATTCTTCTGTGCGCGCGTTTGCAAGCACGAAATATATTCGCGATTTACGAAAACTCTTTCGTTTTCGAACAAACGATATATCTAGTCATTCTCTAAAGAAACATATATATATATATATATATTGTGATTCAGAATAGTTCTATAAATTCGAATATCTGTAATCAAGCGCTAGCGTGACTGGTTCAAGTGACATCATCGCGTTGGAATTACAAGGACGGAAGTTTTTCTCAGACGAGATAAATAGATGGATTATCTGCCTGAGATGCGTTCTCTGGAAGAGAACAATTTAAGGCGATTTTTACAATATCGGTGTAATTATGTTTTCGCGATTGACTTAGGTGGAGGAGGATCTCACCAACCTAACCATCCTCCAAGTCAGTCTTTCAGTGACGGCCTAGGTGCATTAGGGTCTATTCTCGGCGGCGTTCTCGGTGGCGGGGGAAGTCAACAGCAGCCGGCGTACCAACCGTCCGGAGGATACGGCGGGTATCAACCTTCCGGCGGATATGGCAGCCAGAGCTCGACCGGATCGGATCTGCTCTCGGGTATAGGATCCGCTTTGTTCGGCTCGGCTCTTGACGGTCTCACTGGAAAACACGGAAAAGATGTAAATAAATAATCATAATGTATTTATTACTTTTTACACGATGACGTCGTCACCAATGACATAAATGAATTTTCTTCCATGTAGAAATCTCACGAGGACCATCGTTCCGAACCGCCTCCAAGATATGAACCTCCTCCTCCGAGATACGAACCCCCTCCTCCGAGATACGAACCTCCTCCTCCGAGATACGAACCTCCTCCGTCAACACCCCCAGCTCCAACCCCACGGCCGGAAACTCCACCTTCGTCCGGCGGAAACAAATTGTCCGCGGAGGAAATTTCGAAGGGACTCGGACTGGACTAAATATGCTTCGCCCGGCGTAAGCAAGTACACACAAAGTGACAATTTTACGCTCTCTTGTTGCTTTAACGTCACAATCTATCATCACGTGTTTGTCAACATCTATGCGATACGTTTGTTTCATCTCTTGATATTAAAAAAATATTATTAGTTGTATAAGATACAGATCCAAGCGAGCAGGTGTTTCTCGCCACTATGCATGAATCTCGTAAAAGATAATATTATGAATTATTAATCTCTTGAAAGTTGATATTAGATAGTTGAGAAGATTTCAAGCTCGCTACGCAAACTTGTATTTATATATTTTTATCGATTTTAAAGAGAATTTTGCATATCTCAAATAGGAGAATCAAGATAGAATCAAATAAAACACTGCTTTTTACAAAAAGCCTTCCATAAAAGCCCGATTGACAGCTATACAGGTATATAGCAAACGCGATCGTATTGTTTATCGTATTGTTTAAGATTATATTTTTATAAAAATGTTTTATTATTTTATATACACATATAAAAAAGTGGGGCCTTAGGACAGATATATAATGTTATATGCCTTACATGTGTAATTGAATTATGAATAGTGCACAAAAAAAATATTATTATTTATATTATTAATATAAGAGAAAATAAATATATCGTAAATAAAAAAACACACGTATTTAATTTGGAGCAACTTCCGACAAAAACGATGTTTCCATCTCCATCTCGCATTGTTTCTGAAAACCATGTGATGTTTTAACACACATATCTTATAATATCTTATAATAATTATTTATAATCGTTACGCGAAACATTTGCGATTCAGAAATTTACCAAATTGCGTGACGAAGAACACAGGTCAGTTTCGGTTTTCAATATCTCGAGCTCTTGTTTCTTCTTTCTGTTGAAGAACCCGAGTTTTATCAAACCCAGAATAAACAACAACAGCAACACTATTCCCAGAAATATTGAAACTGCTACTATCCACAGGGCTATTCGCTTCGATATCGGCGATCCCAAAAATGTTGTTGCGACCGTAGCAAAATATGGTTTTTGATACTTTCTCTGGACGATATTGCCAGGATGTATCCTAATTGCGCCTTCGGTCACATAAAATATGATATCTTTGTCCTTCATTATATCAGCTACAAAGAATACACATACAACATACGATTTTTCTTTATTGATTGATAATCTGTATGTGGTTAATAAATAATCTGTATACAACACACAAAACAAACAACATACCGGAAAAATTTGATAGTTGTAGATCTAGCGTTAATTTCGCAACGGACGACGAACTTTCGAACGGTCCGAGAACGCATCTGAGCTCCACGCAAGAGACCGCTTCGTTTGTGCAATTAACGTACAACGTTCTGTTCTCAAACGGTATACTCATCGTTGCGTTTTCTTCGATACTGAATTTTGCGTTCACGTTAGTGTTTGTGATACCAAATTGATCAACGATCGCGTCATCCGTATACGCGGTCTTGTTAAATTTGCCAGACGCTTCCGGAGATATTTTTGCCACATTCGAAATGTTGCAGAAAAACTCGTTTCCGTTGAGTCTGCCGGTGGCGTCATCGATACTGACGATCGTTGCGTGTTCGGTGTCGGATCGTCGAAATTGCGTCGGGATTTTCACGGTCAACAAGGCCTGATCGATAGGACTGATGCCGAATTTCTGAACTTCGTAGTAATGTTGGAATTTTATGTTGCTCATCGCATTCTCGCTTGAGTATCGGTACAAGTTCTGCTGTACTTTGCTACACGCGAATACAATAAATACAAAAAAGTTACGAAGATTTACTTACGTATTACGCTTGTAAATCGAGAAATACCAACCCGACGATCGCCATGTCGACGTCCACGTCGAAGTACAGAGTGATGAAATCACTATTGTTATTCCAATTCATGTCGATGCTTTGAGTGCTGATGTTAGCCCATATTTCCACTTCCTTCACTTCGTGTTTCGCCGTTCTCAAATCCAATTGCAACGTAAAATTTTTCTAAAAGATAACGAACTTGTATGATCTTTTATCTGTCGAAGACGCTCGCGTGTAAGAAAGTATCGTACACTTGTTCTAAAAGGATTCTCAATTGTGCAGATCACTTGCAGGATATTATTTGTGCGAAAACCTTCCTCACAATCGCCCGGAATACTCGCCAATGACAACTTCTCGATGAAGACATGCACTCTTGTCTGATACGCTGGCTCGCCTCGATTGCGAGCGTGAATTTGAAGCGTGATCACCGATTCGGCGCCGATGATGTTACCTGAAGGCGAGTCCGTCGACAACGCCACGTTAAGATTGGACATGCACACGTCGTCCTGTCCGCAGTCCACGGCGAACAGCAGTCGTATCACATCTTCGAGCTTGGAACGTGACTTGTTTATTGCGACACAGGAAACGCAAGGTGAGCTCTTGTTGCTCGCTTGAAGATCATCTTGCAACTGCACGGACACCGAGATCTCGAGCGGATCTATTACATTTTGAATGTTCTCCTGAAATGAAGGTTGCGATTGAGGTAAATACCAAGACAAATGATGTCAATAGAGAAAGAGTATAAGTAAACTCACTCCGAGGTCTATAACAAGTGGGCTCCAATGCTTGGTATGTTTCAGCAACCTGTGGGACATTTTGTAAGTGTGCAGTCCATCGGTCTTCTGATCGCGATACACGGCCCTTCCATACTGCTGATCAATCTTCAGAATTGCAGTAATCTCTGAAATATTAAATGTAATTTTAAAAACCTACTTATGGGATTGTAAATGTACAACATAATAGAAAATAAATCGAATTTAGAATTACGTGTTGTTCGCTTACGTAGAGTATCGGGCACGTACAAGCCGTCATAGGACATCGAGATGTTGATCCTGAAGTTCGTCCCGTTTTTCATCAGGTTGATCTTTTGCAGATAAGCCAGCGTCACGTTTACCGTAACGACCGGCACGGATTTCAACAGAACAGTTTCGTCGGACATGAAAGCGCCCACGGCGATGTCGAGGTAGTTGTCGCGATTGATGTCCCGGGGTTCCGAGATGGCGATACCGAAACCGCGCATCGTCGGCGAAAATTCCGAGCCGACCAATCTCTGACTGTACTTTCGAGAAACACCGTCGATGTTCCCGTTGAATACGTACACCGCGCCGCCGTTCTCCTCTTCGTAAGGCGCACCCACGGCGATGTCGCCGTAGCCATCGTAATCGATGTCACCCAGACAGACGACGGTGGATCCGAATCTACCCCCGACGATTTCGCCCTCGATCGTCTGCATTTCCTCAAAATCGTTCTTTGCACAAAGAGAAGCGTCAGATTTAGACGATTAAATACTTTGACTAAAATTACAAACAACTTGAGAGAAAAATAGCTCGTTTAAAACACGATCAAAATTAAAAAAAAAAAAAAAAAACAAAAAGACCAAGAACATACCTTGTGTGACACCGTAAAAACGTAAACGCGACCTTCGTCCATCCCGTTGTTCTTCGACCACTGCGATGCGCCGACGATCAATTCGTCTCTACCGTCATTGTTAACGTCGCACGACGTCAACGCGGCGCCGAAATATTCACCAAACTGTTTACCAAAGATTGTTTTCTTCACGGTCATGATGTTGTTTGTATATCTAAATATCAAGACTGTGCCGAACATATCGGCGTTTCTTGGCGCGCTGGAAGCGTACCAATTATCTTGCTCGTAAAAATAATCACCTGCGGTTATGGCATATCCTGCAAAAAACCTATGTGTGTGTACCGAACGAAGTTACGCTAAAATAAATAAAATGTGCCAACGGCCATTTTTCAAAGATTTGATTTTATTCAAAATCTTGTTATATAAAATTGATTTGTTAAAAATCTATTTAAAATCGCGCGGTTTGTCGCATCGTTTTGATCTTAAATTTTGATTGTGTAAAATTGATCGGATGATGTGAAACAAAAATCGTAATGATAATCGATAATCCTTACCGAAATAACCGAACATGCGTTGCGTCTCGGGAACTGAGAGAATTGTCCCATTCCTGAAATTATCGCGCGCCGAAACTGCGGTGTATTGTATCGCGTCACCTTTCCAGTTGTACGCGCCCGGACTGCCTAATGCGACGTGATCGCGACCCGACAGAGAATTCATGTGCAAGGAGAAGCCAGCTTGACCCATTCCGTAAGAAAATATATTTGAGTACTTCGCTCTTGCGATTTGATTTGCCGTTACAAGAGGTAACAATCGCTGTACCGCCTCTCTCTTGAACGCGTTGGAATTGGTCGCCAGTGTCGCGTAACAAATTCCATTCATGAACCAGTAATGTTTCTTGTTTATCCATCGTGGACCACAAACCTAAGCGAGCGATGTGTTAATGTCATATCAATTAATTTTTGCTGACATTGAAGAAAAAAAAACCGCTTACGTACCACGACCCTGGTCGCATTCTCGTCTTTCCCCGCTACGATGGTCGCACCGATCCAGGCGTTGTTCTTTAGTTGATTAACGCTAAATTTGTTGTAAAATTGTATACCGTTGCCGGTTTTATCGACCACCCACTCCTCGCACGTGTTTGTGTTCGGCGCGCATTTGAACACCGTTCCCGGTTCCGTCACTTGCGGCAGCGCGCTGGAGTTCGCCCGGGGCGCTCCGACGAGCACCAGGGATTCCATCGCGTTCGCGTACAACGCAACCGAGAATCCGAAGTAACTGCGACGCTCGTCCGAAGATGCGCGCGAAGGATCGCGAAACACCTCGGCGTTGAGAAAATTGATATTGTACGCGAGCGGATTGCGTTGCACGATCGTTAAAACGAAACTCAAAACTCTCACGTAAAAGAACACCGTGAAATTCGAACGTGCGCGCGACATGCCGCGGCGAACAACGAAGGTATTCGTTGAAACGTCGATATCCAAGAACCTACTACTTGCTACTTTGCGCGCTAGAAATCTGGAAGAAAAAACATTTTTGCCACCGGATGTGGTAAAGCACACATGCTCAATGACATCATCGCCCATTATCATTAAACGTTAGTCAACGTTTGTAATCTCTGGTGTTCACAGTCGAATCTTACGTTTGAGATTGTTTTTTCTTCAAGTTCGTCTTCGGACGCTCCGCGGTTAATGAAAACCGCTCGTAGCATCATCCGAAGATGAAACTCAAGACGATCTGAAATATAAGATTCAACTGTGTGAATATCGTTTTTTAAAAAGTCACGTCCCAGAGTAGTGCGTACGAAAAAAAAAAAAAAAAAACTTATCGTCGTCGCAGAGGCGGAACGAGATACAAAAGAGAGTGGAGTGAGAAATCGCTCGCGCACAAAGTTTTGCAATTCGGTTTTTTTTTTTTTTTGGTTTTTTTTTTTTGCTTTCTTCGTTTATTCGTAATCAGTTTAATAATAAAGAGACGTATATAAATGCAAGATTAAAATAATATAATATATATAGCTATAATAATAATTCTTCAAGGTTCAACACATAGGAAAAAAATGTATATCAGTTTTTTTTTTTTTATATTACTTTCCATCTTTCGCACAAGTACTGTGTGTCACCAGTGACATTATAGTCGAATCGTCGCAGGACATTTAAATCTAAATGCGGCTCGCATCTACAATCCATGCTTTTTTTTTTGTTTTTGTTTTTTTTGTTTTTTTCTTGTTTGTCGCGGTACTTCAATTATACACAATTTCATTATATATGGGATTTTAGTCGGATTCATTATAATGATCTCGCAATAATTAATCGGACACCGTCCCGGAGTAGTAATCAAGCATCGACAGTCACAATAATGGCATTAACGGGCGATGAAGAGATGTGGGAGGGGGAGGGGGAGAGGGGAGGGGACAAGGGGGACGAGATGAGATATTTCAAACAACACCTTCTAGATAAATTCGCTTATCTAACTGACGAATTCACGAACACGTTATTTAAAGACGTCACGAGGGAAATCAGCAATTAGACTGAGACAAGAATCGAATATACGAATTCCCATCGTGTGAATTGAATTGTTGTTGGGACGATGAGATCTAAATAAAAGATGAGAAAAAGAAAAACAGAAAAAAAAAAAAGAAATCGTACGCATGCTCGAACGTGATTCAACTTAATGTTATAAAAATATCAATGATCACGTTCAGAAGAACCGTGCGCTTTTTTTGAAAAAGCGCTTTGCGATTATTATTTGTCATTGGCATACACTCTCTCTCTCTCTCTCTCACACGTGCGATAGATAAGATCTTAGAAGAACAGGCCAATCACAGGCGGTAAGCACAAAGCGCTGAATTCTGCTGAACGCGGCCAATATTTCAAGGAATCACAGATTACTTGTATGTACAAAGGGAAAGAGGGTTTTAGGGAGGATAGAAAAATCGGAGCACATCGGAGAAGAGGAGCTCGGGGAAATTTAAAAAACGGGAAAGCTGTTTTTTTTTTTTTTTTTTTTTTTTTTTAGTCGGAAGTGTCGCTGGAGGTCGAGATCAAGTGATTACGAGGCGGCATAGTTCGATGGCGATAGCTTCGTTTCGCCAGCTCCTCAACCTTTAACCGAAAACAATGAAGACTGTTTTGCTTCTGTTCGCGATCGGAGCAATCGTCTGTGTTCCCGTCGTTTCGACCGTTACGTTCGCTGGTTCTTCCCTCCGTCGAGGAAACTCCCGACTTGATGCCGCTGTCGGGAGTGCAAGGAACTTGAAGCGACTTGTTGTTCGGCGTCGACGATCTGATCTTTCTGTTGTTCGGAGAATTTCGCGTGCTGGCAGTTCTTTCCGCGTCCGAATCGTCGTCAAGCTTTTGCCGTTTGCTCCGATTCTTGTTCTCGTGTCGTGAGTTGTCCTTGTACTTTCGATGTCTCCGTCGGCGCGTCTTCACCGACGCGTCCGAATCGGTCTCGGAATATTTTCGTTTTCTGTGGGCGTCGTTGTCCTCGGAGCTGCTGCTGCTGCTGCTGTATCTCGAACGTTTATTGTTCTTTTCGATCGCACCGCTAACGTACCGCGACGATCTTCGTGAGATCACACCGGAACTGGTACTAGGTTGAGCGGCATCGATCAGTCCTTCGTCGTCACTTCCCGTTAAATTTGTCAATATAACTTTCGACATAGTAACCACTGTAAACCTCTTTTTGGGCGTCGACGTTCTAATTCGGCATCCACGGCTGCATTTTCTCTTGAAGTCCTTCGATTTCGACTTCGACTTGGATCTACGTTTTGCGCGCGCACTGTCGTCGTCACTCTCGGAAAACGAACGCTCCATCGCGGCCATACGCAGAAGCTTCTCTCTGCGATTCGCGATGAGCCGAGTTATGCGATTCGGTGACTCCAGCGGCCTTTCGGAAGCATCGTCGTCCTCTGAAATTGTAGTATAACCTGCGTCAAATAGTAAAAAAAAAAAAAAAAAAAAATAAAATAAACCGTCGTTACATTAAAAACAAGAGATGACCGAGAAAACTTTATATATATAACTTTATGTGTGAAACATTTTCCCAATTTTAATAATCAGTCTAAAAACACACCGCAAGAAATAATAAAAAAGACCATGTTAGTTTTTCATTCCTTCTATATAAAATATTCATTTTCGTGTGCAATTTTTTCAATCGAGTTTGTCACCGTACCGTCAACATCCGTTGGACTGTCGGGCTCGCCCGTTGGCTGATTGACTTCGGAGTCGCTAGGAGTATGCGGAGCGGTGTGAACTTCCTCGGAACTCCAGCCTTCGATTTCGCGTTGAACAAGTGAATCGAAGAAGGCCATCATTCGCGGATCCTCCTTCGTCGATTGGTGGCTGTAATCGTGCGTCATAAACTGCCCGCTGCGTAGAACCAGCCCTATGTATTCGTCATGCGTGAACACTCTGCGTTGCTTCTCCCGTTTACCGGAATCTTTCTGCAAGCAGCAACACACTGTACCAATGTACAACGGACAAAAGTCCGCCGAGATAATCTGCGATTACAACAGAATATAAGTGTCGTAACGTACCCTCAATCCGCCCAAGCATCCTTTGCCGAGCGTGAACGGACTCCAAATCTTAATTATCTTCTCGACACCGGACGACGCGAATATACAGCTCGCTTGGTTGTATCGAACCTGATTGACGATCGATCTGTGACCCCGCAGCACCATATGCGCGTTCTCCACCCAAGGCTTGCTGCCCGGTGGTGGAATTTTCCACATGTATAAATTGAAATCATCCGAACCTACGAACAGAAAAAGATACACATTACAAATTGTATTTGCACAATTAATATATGTATAATAATCCACTAACTTCAGATTGCGTGAGTTAGTTTTCTTTTTAAATATTTACCGGAGAGAACATATTCGTCGTTTTCGCCTGCGAAACAGCAGGATTTCATGGTACAGCTGTTGTAATATCCGGGATGATCGAACTCGTACAAATATGTAGCCGAGTCGACGGCGTAAAGAACTGGCGGTAGTCTTCTTCGTAAGGCTAGCAACCGATTGCCCACCGAGTTAAATCTAACGTTCATGCAGCTTTGTTGCGGACTTCCGTAGCACATTACAGGCCTGCAAACAAAAAATTTATAAACCAATCGTTTGAGATGCGTCATTCGACGATATTTTAAACCTTCTCTTAGACTGTGTTTAAGTCATAATTTCTGACCCATAAAATTCGACAGTTTCTATTAGAAAAACAACAAGGATTAAAAAATCCTAAAAGAAATCTCAAAAATACTTGGTAGTCTACATACTCCAATGGTTTTCGGACATCCCACATACTGACTCCCTCCTTAGCATTGGCAGTAGCGAGCATTCTAGGATCCATGGGATTGAACATGACGGAGTGGAAGGCGCTTTTGTATTGTGCCAGGCAAAACGTTTCGTTGGTACTAGTGCTACGTATATCGTAAATCAAAACTCTCCCGTCGTCGCAGGCGCTGGCAAATACATCATCATTGTGCGGATGAATGGACAACCCGTAAACGGGTTTTTCATGAGGGAAAAGATTGATGGCGTTGCATCTGAAACATTTAGAACAACACAAGTCAAGATGGTGGCAAACATCCGCTTTGTTCTAGAAAAGCTTATCTTACGTTCGCAAATTGTGAACTATAACTTGGTCGTCATTTCCTGCTGAGAATATTTTGGTTTTGCTGCTGTCGTAGCCAAGGCAGAATATGTTGCTGTTGTGTTGGGCTTTCATCACGGTGGGCTTGCCCATACCTTGTATCGCTTGCTCGACTCGCCATAACAAGACTCTTCTGTCATCACCTCCTACAAAAGCAGACGTAATGCAAATCACAAATTATGATTCATATGTTATGTGTTGGAGTTACATATTTTCAATATTTTTTGGTTTATTCAAACATTTCAAGTCGTAAAGGCAAATGAACAAAATTTTGTCTACAGTAGTTAATGAAGAAACAAATTACGCTGAGAATGCCGTTAAAGACTGATGATTCATCGAATAAGTAAAAATATTTAAAAGCGATTTCTCTTTCGTAATTTTTAGCGAGAGATGAATAAGCTGCGTAAAAAAAAAAAAACGTAGCTCGAACTGTTAGCCTCACCGGACACGAGCAGATCCCCCTGATTCGAGAACTCGATCGCGTTTACGCATCCGTAGTGGGACAGCAGGTCCTTCTTGAACAGATTTTCGGAATTCTCGAATCTGGTGGAGATCAGTCTCCTGCAGTAGTCGACCTTGTCGTCGATCTGTCGTGCGAGCACGTAAGACAGCGCGTTGCTCACGGACGGATGGGCCATCACGGCATCCCCTTTGCACAATTGTCTAAGCGATCGTCGGCGCGATCGTTTGTTAGAGCTCGAATCTGACGATCGGCACGGAATACCCGTCTCCCCCTCAGCTGACGGCCGATCCTTCCTCTTCCATGTATCGCCGCTTCTGTCCATGTGTCGTCGGCCTCGTCGTCGTCGCCCCGACGCTCGCGATCCACGAGATCGTTCTCGGATAAATCGTTTGCCGCGATACGCGTGGGGTGAATGCGGGAACGAGCGGAAACGATCTCGCAAAGTTGTATCGCCAGCTGCCTTCACGAGGTATCGCCGAGCACTTCGAGCGATCGTCGCGCTTCCTTCCCCTCTTTGCTGAGCGCTGTTTACTTTTGCGCGAATGTGTCAACTGGCAAGGTTGTATCAATAATAAATATGTATACATATGTAATAATATATACGTATATACATATATATGTATATATATGTAAAATTATACACACATATATGTATAATGCGCGTATAAATATATTTTTGTGAATTTGTCATATCCCGATGTCGTCTGCGCTCGGAATAAATACGCACACTTACCACAAATCAACAAGATCGTTTCTCTCGCAACACTTGCCAGGAAAATAGATTATTGTACGCGATTATTGTTTCGCGGTTACGTTACCACACGCGCGTTTGCGCGAAGACCTGCACGAGTCGCGCGATAGGCAATGGAAAAAAAAAAAATCGCAGATGATACGCACGCCACGATGATGCACCTCGGGATTGTACACACATTCAAGTCGGTCTCTCGACACAATCGCGAGCTCCGCCAGCAGGCTTTAGTCTACCACTACTACCCCAACGCGCGATCCAATCCCATCGGCCAAACGTCTATTTCGTCCCTGTCTCGCCCGATCAGCTGATCGCCGTTCGAAATCCCCCCCTCCCCTTGCGGTTGTGTGCCGGATGGTTTTGCGCGATCTCGTCGTCGCCGATTTTTTCCTCGTCAAATCGCGCCGCGACTCGCCGGAAATCGCATTTCTTCCGCCAAGCGTCTCTAAGCGAGACCGATTCTTGACCGGACGGTTTATTGACTACTGTACCGCGATTACTCGCGCATTACTTCGTACATTTTCTACGATAACGCACACATGCGTTCTCGCACGTCTTTTGAACGGGAAACCGATTCGACGTAAACAACGGGACGATGGAAGCTGGCGCCGTGTCGCGGCCGCTGTGTGTACTGCTCACAGGTCCACCAGGTGAAAAGAGAAACATTACAAAATTGGAGAGAAAGAAGCGCGAGTTTATAGACCGAGTTTGATTTTTTTTTTTTTTTTTTTTTTAAACAAAAGCTGTAACTTTCGTAAAATGCGCGTATCGGATGAACAATCGCATCGGCAACGTTTTTATTTAACAATAACGTCCATTTGAAAACCTCGGTCTATATTCGAGCGCTTTTTAAAGAAAAAATACACACAAGTGCGCTTTGCAAAATAAAAATGTTACACTTACAATAAAAAAAAAAAAACAACTTAAATTTAATTACATCTTTTCAACGTTAAATCGCACGAGATGCAACCGACTGCGAAATCACGCGGTCACAGAGATACACGCATCTTCTGTTCTGTGTAATAGAAAAAAAAAAATCCAAACATTTTTAAATTTCCGCAGGCATAGGCAAAACTACAGTGTGCAAGAAAGTTGCATCTACATTAGAGAAAAAGGGCGTGAGGTTCGACGGATTTTATACGGAGGAGGTGCGCAATCAAAGCGGTTCCAGGATCGGCTTCGATGTCGTGAGAGTGGCGGATCCTGAAAGAAGATCGTCCTTGTCACGACTCAAGTGCGTCCGTGTGCTTTCCACACACAATGACAATCACAAAACTGTGTATAACCGAATGTATATTACGTATATATATGTGTATATATATATATATATATATTTAACATTTCTTTATGCGCAGAAATTTAACAGAGATTCAAAAGGTCTCCAAGTATCAAGTAGGAAACTATACTGTTTTCCTAGACAATTTCGAGGCAGTAGCGCTTCCGTCATTGGATTCGGACACTGTAAGAATAATGTTATTTTTTATTCTTCTCTCTCAAAGTGAACACTTTCACGTGAAAACACGACTACCTTCGCAGTAGCGTCATTTATATATGTGTGTGTGTGTGTGTGTCTATGTGTCTGTGTCTCATCGTCTTTTTTTTCAGGACATATTGCTTATAGACGAAATCGGCAAAATGAAATTGTTCAGCAAAGACTTCAAGAAGAAAGTGACGGATATAATTTTCGGCTCTTCTGCGAAAAAAGTTTCCGTGATCGGTACCGTACCGCAGGCGCACAAAGTCCCGCGACAGCACGCGGCGCTGTTCGAGAGAATGCTCGCGGACGATAGAATCAAAATTCTGAATGTGTCCCACGGAAATCGAAACGACCTGCCGGATGAAATTGTCCGTTGTTTATCATAAAACTCATCTCGGGCGATTGCGACACAACGTACTTTGTTCATTTGTTTATTTCGTGTTGTTTTTCTACGTACGTTGCGTAAAATAAAATTATTATCTGAATTTTTTCTTCACACACATATTTACATTATAAACATCATTTTTATTTTATATTAACAAAAAAACAAACGTGAGTCAGAGATCAAAGAAATCCCTCCGATGGATTTGTAAAAAAGTTCGTCACAAATAACGTGACAGGGTGCGGCGATTGGCTTGGAACGTTGTTGTACTACATAATTATGCTAAATTGCTTTTAATATGTATATCATCTGTGTATAATAAATCGTCGTTCTCCACCAAAATCCCCCCACCGATTGGTCGTTCGAACAATCAAGTAATTTGTATTGCAACTTGGTTTTCACGTTACACGTATATGTAACTCACGTAGATTACATATGCAATTCACTTTGCGTATATATATAAATAGTGTATTATATAAGTTAAAACTCTTCATGGAGAGATCTCTGAGATCAAGATTCTCTGTTCTCTTTGTGTACATGTGTGTTGTTCGTGTGTGTGTGTGTGTGTGTTCGTACCGTGTGTGTAATGTAAGAGATGTATCTTTTACCGAACAAGATGGTCTCATCAATTGAGGGTACAAAATAGAAATAGTTTTTTTTTTCTTTTTTTTTTACGCGCATTATTACTTGCGTTATTACTTCATTGCGAAGGAACACAAATCGCATAGTAAATGACGAGCCAGGTTTTGTTTTCTCTCATCTCTCGAATGAGAAAAAAAAGAAAAGAAAACCCGTACCAAACTGCGTTCTCCCGCGTTGCAAAAATAAGCAAACCTTTCTCGCTTTTGTACCCGTCAATACTATATATAATATATATATATATGTATTTATATAATGAATATTCTCGTCGTATCTCACGCGATACAGTACGAATTCGTTAATGATCTCCTAAAAAGAATACAATAATTATCGTTTGACGGAGAAGTCTACGGTGCCTTTCTTACCTTCTCCATCTTGATATCAAATATATTACGCACACTTTGATTGGGCTACTTATACACACACTTCAGTTTATTATTATTTATTTATCAATAATAACTAAGGATGTTCCACTAGCACACGAACTTTAGTAGCGAATTAGCGTAAGCCATTGGCCTTACGTTTGGATGAGGCTGTAACAAATAATAAAAATACACGGATAGTCCGACAAATTAACCGCGAGAGAAAACAAAAAGAAATATAAAAAAAATATATAAAACACAAATATAACAAATATAAAAATATAATTCACGAGTACAAAATGTACGTACCATTGCTTCATACGATGTGAAAGAGGGTTTCATGTCATCGCCGTTAAGTGTGATGAAGGCACCTCGGTTACCCATCGTATCACAGTAATTTGGAGCGGAAAATACTGTGATACACTTCCCGTCGTGTCCGACTTCGAATCCGTCGTTCTTCACTTCGTGACTCCTCACGATATAATCCAGCGAGTTTGTTCTAAGGAAGTTCTGCGTGACGTCCGGTCCAAATTGAACGCCCACGCCTCTCTTGCTAGGCGCTCGGCCCATCTGTGGCTGCGGATCTGACCACAGCAACTCGCACATCAGACCTTCATCGGGTGGCTGCCGATTTCTGTCGATCTCTCTGATCTCCTGCAGCGTCACGTCGTCTCGCGAAAACAATCCACCGTGCATCACCTAGCGGACGACGAATTACATATATAAAAATTGTGATTTCTATAAAAATTGTCAACGTAGAAGCTTATACCGAGCGATACTCACAAGAACTTTGTTGTTGAGACAGTGCGCGAGAGGCAGCCAGTTGTAAACTTCTGTAAACAATTCCGCCATCTGGGCGGAATACTTAGCTTTCACCTCGCCGTCAAATCCATACATTTGATTCATCGTCGCGGATTCGTGGTTTCCTTAAACGAACAAGAACACCGCGTGTTAACGCGCGAATTTCGATGTTACTTTCGAATACATTCAGAGAGAAAAAAAACGCAACAATCACATACCTCTTGACATGAAAAAGTGGTTGGGATATAGTAACTTAAAACCGAACAACGTGAAGATGCATTCTACGGAAAACGATCCTCTGTCGACAAAATCTCCATTGAACAGCTACACAGTTGTTAAGAAAAATAAATTGTTGGACCATTACGATACGCGGACTTTTTTGTAATAATTAATGTTGACATATCTAGAAGATTCACTTGTACAACAAATATTCCCTGTGATGTACATCGCAACATTAACATGAGAACTAAATCACCTACAGTTTATATACATTATAAAGGATACGTAAGGATTTGTCTCCGACGGCAGACCGTTCAATTTGAATATGTTAAGCAGGTCGTAATACTGGCCGTGTATGTCGCCGCAAATTGTGAATTTACTATTCTTAGGTATCGTTATGTCGATTAGACTTGGTTGTGCCATGAACCACGATTTAATATCAAGCAGGATTTTGTAAGCGTACTTTCGATGCAGCTTGTTCTGGTTTCTGTACCATTCTAACAGTTCCTGCATAAATTCCAGAGTGACCTTGCCATCGACCAACTTAGGCCCCGTATATTCGTCCTCGATAGCTACGAAAGACAATCAATCACGCGCAACTGCATACATGTATTTCTCTTATTGATTACAGCATTGATTTTTGTCAAACGCACAACAACTCACTCACCCATGGCATCAAGATTGATCATGTCGGCAATGTTTTTCTTGTCCTCCACCGAGATGGCCTTCTGGAAGGCCAACATTTTGACCATCTTGCAACACTCGGTGTACCTGTCTTTCGCGTCTTTGTCATTCGGCCTCGCTTTCACCACAGTCCTGTAATCCGTGAGCGCGAGTTTGAACTTACCGAGGGACATGTAAGCCGCCGCTCTTCGATAATAACCCTTCACGTAATTCCTATCTAATTCGATGGCCTTCGAGGCGTCCGTCAACGCGTATCCGAAACATTCCGTTCTCAGGTAAGCGATACTCCTGTTGCCGTAGTACACGGCCAACGTTGGATTTAATTCTATGGCTTTGGTATAAAGTTCAATAGCTTTGTCGTACGCTTGATCTGAAAATGAAAAAAGGGTCACAATTGCGTAAATACAATTTGGGACGCGGCGTCGTATTGTGTCCGGTATTTTTGTTTTTTTTTCCCCCTATCTCTCCGCAATGAAAACTCAATTATCTCGGGAACACGAAGAAATTGTGGTTAGTTCGCGTGCACACACGTGACCGCGTTAGGTAGTATCGTGAAATTTAAGAGACTCCGGAAAATACATGACCGATCGCGTCTGACCCACGTGCGTGTCACACACATACTTTTGAAGTGTTCGTTCGCCTCCTCCTTGAACAATTCCGCCCTGTTCGCGTCTTCCGCCTGAACCGCGATCTCCGCACCGCCTCCATTCTCGCTCATCCTGGTGTATCCCGTTGATATATAACCCGTGCGCGCGTGGTTGTTTCTTTTTCTCTATCCGCGTGCGTGCGTTGCGTGTGTCTCCGCCGTAACTCCCGGTTTCGCGGACCCAGGTGTGTGAGACCAAGTGGCGGCGGCAAGTTAACCCGCAAGTAGAGTCACGCAGTCGCAACGTGCGTAAACGGCAAATCACACATCGAGTGTTGCAAACGAAGAAGTACTATCGCGCTCTCCTCTCTTTCCCGGAGCTTGCTGCTGTGCGCGATGGCGCTCTTCCCTCTCCCCGCTTCTCGCGCGCGCGTACCAACCAGCACAGCGGTGGTATACGAATCGCGAGAAAAAGGATATCGCTCGAAATCGACATCGATCTGACCGTTCTCTCTGTTTACCGAAGAGGAGCAAAATTGATCGAGAAAACACAATTCGATCGGTTAACGGGGAAGGATCAAAACGCGCGGCTCGCGAGACTCTCGAAAAATCGCGAACGTCGAGATGAGAAAAACTTTGGCGACGTTGGTTTTCAAACTGGTTGTTCGATTCGACCGATCGAACGACGCATCGATCGCTCGCGCGATTGGTCGCGATACAATTGACGATCTCGCACGCGCAAACGCGTGACGACGAAAACATAGCGCTACGGAAGAAGCAGCGAAATGATTGGCCGTCGCTTAATCAGAGCCGAAGTTTACGAAAGAGAACGCATTCGCGAAATTTGATTAAAAAAAATTCGAATCTTGTACAAATTGCGGGTGTGAGATGACTCGGAAGTTTATTACAACGCGCTGATTCGCATTGCGTTCGCTTTTTTTTATTGGATATAGTTCTACAGAGATTTACAATTTTTTCTACAGATTTACAACTTATACTCGGTCGACGTATTAAAACGACCAGTTGCGTCTTGGTGCAACTGACTAATCACAGTTGAAAATCACTTATTGCTAACTTAAGAGTAAAACCTTATCGAGGTGACAGTGTGTGAGACGAACTCGAAGTCTCATATTTTATTATTTCTCAAATTTAAAAACAAAAACCTACGATTGTTCTCTTCCAGAAGTAGTTCGACATTCAATTGTCAACAATTCTTTCTCTCCGTGCTATTAAATGTTACGTTTATTTTATTTCTATCGCGCACGTATGCACACCATCCTCAATTTCTTTCTTTTTACATAGATTGACTAAATTTATCTCTTTGCCGAGTTGGCCGTCATCAGACCCGTCTTCGATACGACGATGAGTCGATTTGTGTGAACGCACATTAATTAGTCTCGAGTCGCAAATCTTTCGAGGTAGCACAACTAACTAACACTAAAGAGGACCTTGATTAAACATCGGAACGCACGTAAGTGTTATACGAACGTATATAACAACGTATGAAAAATTATATATACGACTAATTGTAAAATATTCTGCTTATGATTCGGTCATCGGTGATTTACCGGTCTTCATAATCTCAAGCACTCTCTTGTACACGAGCAGGCGTACGTCTTTCGCCCAGATGAAATCCAGATGATTGAACGGTGGAAATGGTACTCTGTACAAATCGATCACATTGGGCAACTTGCCGTAGAGCCTTTTCACGTCCTTAAAAATGACGATAATTTTTCTCGTCAGTTGCGCGCGAGCGTTCTTGCGATTCAACAAGATGTCTTACGTAAATTTACGGACGCGTGTTTATTTCTTCGCTACTCACCTGGGGATCCGCCAGCCAATCGTTATCGGCGTAGAACAGCGCGATCGGCACCGTGATGTTGAACAAATTGTACTCCGGCGGTTCCGTTGCGTTGTAGATCACCCGATTCTTCTTGGAACCGTAATCGTACTGACGGAATTTGCCCGAAACCATCTCCTGATTGTAATGTATCACCGTCTTGGTCGACGTGCCAGCCGGAACGTAATGCAAGATCTCAGGCAGCAATTTCTGCGAGAGAAATTTATCAAGAAGTTTGATCTCGGAAAAACGTGACGACGCGTGAATTCTCTTCGAAGAATTGCGTTGTTGAAATTATTATAAAAAATAATATAAGAATAATATCGCGCGCTTCGCGCGAAACACTCACGTAATCGAATTGCTCCTCGTCGAAGCCGCAGATTAAGAACAGCACGTTTGCGCAGATCTTTTTCTGGAAAAGTTTCACGCGACAGCCGTTCGCTAGAATTTTCACTATTATGTTCTGAGGCAAAAACTCGTCCTTGCCAAAGAGATAATCGATAATCTACAAATCCAGGATTCGAACAGTTGCGTAATTTAAAAAAAAAAAAAATTAATTAATTTTCTATAAAATTACTTTTGGTGGAGAGAAAATCAAGGTGGTGTGATCTCTCACCTTGCTGCTTGCAATGGGAGCGAAGTATCGTACAGGACTTTGAATGTGGTTCAGAAAAGCGACGGGGGCGAGGCTGATCATCATTTTTACATTTTCAGCAATGTGTGGAAGACTCGATGCCATCACGTAGAACATGGTCGTGCCCATTGAATGGCCGATGTACGTGTGCAATAGTTGCGATCTCAAATTCGTAATATACGAGATCATTGCCGGTAAGTCGTACATACCCATTTCGTGAAAACTGAAGTTCCAGAACTCAGAGTCCGAGGGCAACAGATGAACGTGCGCTCTCGAGTACGTGTTACCACGTATGTTGCCCAACCACACATCATATCCCTGATCAGCCAGTATGAAAGCTAATAACATTTATGCCAAAATAAAATTTTATCATTTTTGCAAAGTATTCTCATGAAAAATATACAAAGTGAATGATGTCTGAAACTTTATCAAGAGAGAGGCCTGTATTATAAAAGAAAGAACTCTGTATCGCTCTGATCAATGTACCGAGTCCTCTGTTTTTGCCGGCGATCACCCAGTCTGTCGAGCTGCACAACAAGCCGTGCTGCAGCAGCACGGGTGTCGAGTTGTTGTCACCCGGAATACGATGCAAAGTCAAGAGGTAACCGTCCTCTGTCTGTATAACATGAGACTCCGCTGGATAACCAGCTCTTCTGATAATTTGCGGCTGAAAGAAAAAAGATACGGAAATAAATTATCCCACTTAATCGGTTGAAGAAAAAAAAACACTTGAGTGTCCGACCTTCTTGACCATTTTGCTGATGACAAAGTGGACTTTGGTTCTTTCTAAACTTTGAAAATCGGTTTTTCTATACGTGGAACGTCTTACCGTGTTGTAATACTCGAAAGAATTGACGGTCGCGTTGATTTTTCTCTCTTCGTCTCTAGGCGTCGTTTTGAAAAACCCGCTGATTTGGTCGAGGGACTGGAAAATATCGAATTTCATGGGCTTCGTCATCACGCCGGAGAAGCCGCAGAGGAACAGAAACCGCGATATCGTTGTCGGCCGCATTTTCTGGTGACAAATGTAAATTTTGCCGCAAACGTAAAACGACAATAGACAGATTTCAAATACTTATTTTCTAAAAAATAATATGAGATCCGGCCAGAGAAATAGGCAACTATACCAAAAGCGTACTGAAAACAACTGCGCGGATAGTTCGCGGACACCTCGCAATTTGCTGCGCGAACTTACACGATGTACATATTATGAATAACAATGAATCATCGTCGACGATTTTATCGAGAATATCAAAGTAGAAAAAGAGTTTAACAGAAACAAGAGATGTTAGTCACGCGACGATAAAACAACTTATGCAAAATATATGCACAATCCGCGCAAAGATAGTGCAAGTTATAAAAACAAACCAATCGAGAGAACCGATGATCTTAATTCTCACGATCCGATGATCTTAATTTTCACGATTGAACTCTCGTATCGTGTTCTCCTCTCTCTTCGATTTTTGCGATCGCAGACGTTTAACGACGATTTGTCAAAAGAATATAATCTTGCAAAAAAATAAATAAATAAATAAATAAAACAAATTGACCATATGATTTTATACAAAATATCGTAACAATAAAAACTTACTTAAACATCAATTCATTCAAGTTGTTACATTTAACTATATTGTGTATTGTTTACCTAAAATTAAACTTTTATTTGAAAGAAAGTTAATGATTATTTTAATAATAATTTTTAATTAATCTTTTCGAAAAGTGAGAAACATATATGTAACAGTTGAAAAATAAAAAAAAATATAAATATTCGTCAAATACAAATATTACCTGTACGTTAAATTATTGTTACAGTCAAAATCCTTTGTTCCATCTACGAAATCAGAAAAAGAACATTTAATCGTGTACTTACGGTATATGCTTGTTTATTCTTGTGTCCTCTGAGAGTAAACGTGTGTGTGTGTGTGTTTTTGTCGAACTTTGTCCGCTTTATCTTTTCGTACGAGCGAGAGGTTCGGTTTTACTGTTTTCCGTTGTACGAAACGAATCACATTGCCGCGTGTGCTTGCATCCACGAGTCTCGAGTGACTGCGAGTTTCCAAACGTGTTTCAACGTGTTTTCTTTACACCATTTTGTCGTTGTGTTATCATTATCAACCAAGTATTTCTAGAATTTTGTGTTGCTTTCCGCGTTTTTAGATTTTATTATAAATCACGCGTTCGTGAAAAATATCGAACACACCGGTTAACCTCAAATCGACCGGGTTGTGTTCGGCAACGTAACACAGTGAAGGAGAAGACGAGTGTTCGGTCGAGAAAACTGAAGTTTTTTTTCTTGTTCCCAGTTCGTATATGATATAACGACGCGCAAGATGAACGAAGTCGCGTTACCACCGTCGCCGAACTGGTATATAAACGATATTTTGTCCTGCTCGAATCGAGGAACCGTGGCATGGGGCGGCAAAAATTTTATCGTCGTCGCCAAACGGAACAACAACAACGACACTCTTCAATATTCTTTGATCAAGGACAATCAGAAGGAGAAAATAACCGCGGTAGCGTTCCGTCCCGCGTCAAACGACGATCCAGACAGTCCGGAATTGCTGATTGCCGGCGGTGACAATGACATTGTCAAGATTTGGAACGTAGACACGTTAGATTTAATGGTCGAGTTTTCTTTCAACAACGTAAGTATATGTAAACGTGATGAGAAATAAATGACAATAGAGAAACAATGCCATCTACTGTGTTACTTATTATTTGCAAGGTTAATCGTAATTATTGTTTGTCAACAATAGAAAGATAAGACAACAGTAACAGGCGTTGACTGGTCGGTCAAGGACACCAATCTCGCTTATGCGGTGACTTCCGAAGGTCTTCTCATGTATTGTAACCTGCACTATCAGAACTGCAAAGTGATACCTTTGGGCAAGGTGTCGGCCACATGTATAGCTTGCTGCCCCCACAATTCAAATATCCAGGCGGTGGGTCTTAAAGGCGGATTGATTTACATTATTGAAAAAGAAGCGATAATCTATAAACTCAGAGGTCATAACGAAGAAGTAGTCAGTTTATCTTGGTGTCCCTCAGACACGAATGTGCTGAATGGAAATGATAAAAAAGACCTGCTTTTAGCTTCCGGTGCAAAAGACAAGTGAGAGAGGCAAAATTGTTATAATTTATAAATTTTAACGATATTCTCTCGTGTTATTTTGCTTACTCGTTTGTTTCTTTGCTTTATTTTAGGAGTGTATTCATTTGGAAGGCTAATGAGGGCAGGTACGAAACTGTACTGCACATGCCATCCGGTCCACTCAGTTCCACTCAACACAAGAGTAAACTCGCGTCAAACGGAATTTGGATTGCGGTGTGTTGGGTGGAACCCAAGATTCTTCTCACTGGTTCGCAATGGGGTGAGCTTCTTTCCTGGGATCTGACTGTAAAAGACAGTAAAGGCAAACTCGTGCATAAGCTGGTGCACTCGTACCACGGCAGGGGACTGTTCTGCATAGCCACCGTACCCAGAGACAACAAAACGTTCAGCAATTGGAGAGTTGATCCCGGGTGGGTAGACAAATTCTTTGTGTGTAAAAAACAATTTCATAAACATAACAGTTTCCATAAATTGAAACGGGAAAAATATCGAAATTTACTTTATTCATATGATTTTTAGACTCACAATCTGGACCCTGGCGCAAGATCGCTGGATCGTGTGTTGTAAGCAATACAATGATCCCTCGAAACCGATAGAACTGAAGTATAAGATACCTACGCAAGGGGGATACGTTTACTGCATGGAAGCCTGTGCCATTGATACGTCGCGCGTCGTGTTCGGCGTGGGAGACACGATGCTGCGCTTGTGGAATTTGTCTGAATCCCATACGACAACGTTTGATGTGACCATGTACTGGCAGAAAATAAAAGGAAAATTAAGAGCGGTAAGAAAAATATTTTTTAAATGCGTTTTTTTTTTTATCAAATGTGCGTATGCTGTTGTAACACTGTAATGCACAAATCGATGTCGTCAGTTGTCGTGGTTCCCCGAAAATGAATCCACAGTGGCTTTCGGCACCTCAGAAGGCCGTGTTGGAGTATTCGACGCACTTGGCACCCAGAAACCACCTGTATTGTACAGACAATATCACAGAAACACAATTTATAAAGTTGAATGGGCGACACTCGACGATACGTATTATTTGTTCTCTTGCGCGGATGGGGAATTAACAGCGCACAAGAAATCCGAACCAAATAACGGTAAGATTATTAAGACGTAAGACGCCCGGATTGTCGCAATACGTGATTTGTCGCCGCAACCTTTGTGTTTTGATTTTCAGAACCCAAGGTTATAAAGAAGGGATGCACGGAATTTTCTTGGAAATCCAATCTGTGTTTAGCGATTGCATTAGAAAACGGGTGAGTTGCACTTGAGAATTATACATACAAGGTGAGAGGAACGCATCTAACATGAGACCTTTTCTTTATAGATCAATTGTGTTCTACGACAAGAAGCTGAGGCAACGCGGCAACGTGATACATGTGTTGAGAAACACGGTAAATTGTCTAGCTTGGCATCCCGATAGCACAACGTCAGACATGTGGACGTCGTCGATGGCGAACTATTTGGCGATCGCCTCCGACTCGAACAACATATTGATCTTCGACATGTCGGAGCTGTTGAAAGAATTAGAGGCCACAAGCAACGCCGACAGCATTTCGAACGGCATCCACGACGAGCACAAGATAGAAAAGGCGGTGGCATCGTTGAACGTACATTCCGACAAAGTGGTCTGCTTAGCCTGGAGTCCGCACTTCAGCGGGCATCTGGTTTCGGGGAGTTACGACTGCACCGCTCAGGTGTGGAACGTCGAGAAACAGGAACTAATCGGCACGTACATGGGTCACGAAGGACCGGTGCTGTCCTGTATGTGGAGTCCCTTGAAACCGCAGTTGATAGCGACCGGCTCGGCGGACTTCACATTACGTATATGGGACTATACGTCACCGGAGCAGTCACCCAGGCCACCGTCTGGTGCCAAAGCAAAGAAGAAAGAAAAAAAGAAAGGAAAGAATAAACCGGAGTCGTCAAAAGACAATACGGAAACGCAAAAAGACTCGACGAGTTCGTTAACAACGGATTCAGTCGAATCTTCGAAACCTTTAGAAGTAGTTCAATCGAACTCGGAACCGAAGTCGGAACCGAAGTCGGAACCGAAACCTGAAGTATTGCTAGTAAAGAAAAAAGATAAGAAAACTTACCTCAGCAAATATCACAGAGCAACGAACAGATTTAAAATCGTCGACATGATTAGAGACGACATGAGAAAGAATCAACGAAAAGAAGAAGACGATAACGTCGCGAATTTGTCGTTGTTTTGCGAAAACCCAGAGAAGCTCGCGGAATTTTTCGACAAGATAATATCCGATCAAGAAACTCCGACTGGTGCAACCGAGTTGAGCGTCTGGTGGAACAGAAACAACTACGGGCGCAATATAACTCTCGAGAGCAAACTAATGGCCGCGGCTAAGGAGCAGCAGCTGAATGATTACCTGGTTTCGCTCGCGCCCAGCGTCTCCGCGAAGATGTGGAAGGAAATGTGCGAGGCTTACGCGCAGCAGTTGATAAAGCAACGCAATGTGGAAAAGGCCGTCTCGTATCTACTTTGCGTGCACAAGATTTACGACGCCATAGACGCACTTTTGCTCTTTAAAATGAACAAAGAAGCCTACTTGCTCGCGAGATGCAGACTGGATACGGACGATCTGTATCTGAAGAAGGTGTTGGTCACGTGGGCGGAAAGGGCCATAGATACCGGCGCTCTGGAGGAAGCGGCTCATTGTTACCTCAAGTTGGAGCAGTACGACAAGGCGGCGAAAGCGCTCGCTCGTCGAATGGAACTGCCGTGCTTGGAAATCGCGTCCGAATTGGCGTTTATGAGCGGAGACGAGGCGTACGGCATAAGCATAGCCGTGGACGCGATGACGCGCTCACTCGGAAAATCAAAGTGGCCGAAAGCCCGTTCCCTCATCGAGAACATACGTCAGGTTCAGTATCTGAACGTTTACATAGACGTTCACGAGCTTATTATGAGCAAGTACGGGGAACGTACCGAATTGGAATTGGTGCGAACGTTGTGCGGAAACGTCGAAGAAACAGAACCGGGAGTGTTTCAAGCTCTCGAAAAGGAATATAATTCTTCTTATTACGACGCTTTGCGCAAAAACGCTGCCACGATCACGGGATCAAACGGCGAAATTAACGATACGATCAGACGACTCGAAAGTATTTACATGATCGCCATAGCGGCTACTTGCGACACAAAAGAGGCTCGACTGAAGCACATAGCGACGGCATTGGATACAGCGTTGGAATGCGATAAAGCGAGACCGAGCTATGCGAATGAATACGAAGTTGGATTTTTCATATATCTTCTCGCTAGCTTGGACACCAGGAAACCGAGCGATGAAAATAGTATTTATGCAAAGAGTAGTTACCTAGTTTCGGAGAGCGTACGCGCTTATTTATGCGTTGGCCTCCTCAACTGGTTGCTCAAGCACCTGGAGCAATTGTCCGTTGAGTACGAGACCCAAATCGCGGAAGCAATATTAAATTTGTTAGACGACTCGATAAACAAAGAGACTTTATCTTATCGGAAGAAGATTAGCGAACTAAATAATCTGGAAAAACAGCTTATGATTATCTTGAATTCGGATATTGATGAGAGTACAAAGGAACAAAAAATGACAGATCTGAACGAGAAAATTGAGGAATTGAAATCAATGAAAAGAAAATTCGTGGAGGAGCGTGCCTGCATACCAGATCCCGCTTTTGTGTTTGACCAAGTTCGCGAAGTATCTTGCAAATTGCGCGATGATAGCAATCGATCTCGATTTTTATGTCACTTTGATAAGTTACTCGATTTAGTTTAGATGTTTTTATTTAGTAAAGATAAATTCAACGAGGATCCGAGCTAGTAAAAATTCGATAAACAATCTGGATTTAGATTAAAAAAAAGAGTAGTTGTACATAACTCAATAAAAAAAATCTTATCAGTTGTTGGATTGAATCGCGAAGGAACGACTCGTGAATCGCTGACCTGCGTTTTACGCGACATACGTTTTTCACGATCCGCAAATAAATAAAATTAAATAAATTGTTAAGCAAGAAAATTTCTACCACTTTTTTACGTGTATATTGTTCTTCGCCTGTAACTACAAGGCTATAAAAAAAATATATTTGTCTTTTTTTTTTTATTGAGCATCAATTATCGTGTGTTGTTACTATTTCACTTCTTGTCCACAACTTTACAAAAAGACAAAGATTCAAATACAATTTAAGAAAAAACTTACTTCCTATCAAAATCGTAGCGTAACATCATCCTGAGGTAGAATCAGTTTTTTTTTTCTTTTAATGACAAAATCAGGGGTATTCGGAGTGTTGTTATTAATTCACATTTACTCTCCAGAAACACAGTTCTCTGTCGCTTCCGGCGCAGATGTAGGGCAGTTTGTAATGCCACGTCATGCCGCCGAACAATTTAACCTTTCCGCACAATATCACTTGCTTGGATCTCAAACTGAGAACTTTTAACAGATTGTCCGGCCAGCCGATGCTCGCGATCAGATTTTCGTTTGTGTGTGAGAATTTTGCCGTCAGACCACCTTCGAGGTAGAGCGTTCGCTCGTCGAGAGGGCGGCTGTAAAATTTGAAGCAAAAAGATTAATAAAAAAACACATAAATTTTACAAAAGCTCTATCACATAATACACAGAAAGATAAAAATTTAAAAGTTTTTAAATTACCTGGGTCTGGATACATCCCAGATGATCAATTCTCCTCCGGCCATTGAAATGACCTTCAAAGGATTGGGACCCCAGTCCGCCGCGGTTAAAGGAACTGCTCCAGAATCGAGCGACATTATAGCCTGTTGGCTTCTGACGTTGTACATGCGTATCAGTCCATTTTTCTCCGCCACCAGCAGCTTTCCGGATTCCTCGCCGTGCCAGCACACACTGGTGCCAGGTGATGTGAGATAAAACGTGGACACGCACTTTCGATCCTCCTTGATCGCCCAGAGTTTGCACGTGTGATCGTCAGAAACTGACGCCAACAGTTCGCCCTCCGGTTCGTACGAGATTGCGTTTATGTAATCTTTGTGTTCCTCCAGAATCTTCAAAAATTCGTTTTCATTTTTCAATCACACGTTTTTAAATTTTCTAATCGAATAATAAATCTCAGAGATTTCTTTCTCACCTCGTACACGTTAACGTCGTTCAAATTGCTATTGTACAATCGTATCTTGAAGTCTGCGCCAACGACGCAAAACGTGAGAATCTTGGGAACAACGCTCAGGGAGGTTTCCGGACTCCAAGCGATCGCGTGAGGCCTGGTGTCGTGATAAAACGTTCTGATGGGATTGTATTCCATGCCCTCCACACGATCATCCTCATCCTGTCAATTAAAAGTCATCGGTTAGGTTAGGTTGGGTTAGGTTCTATACTTGTGTTAAAATTTAATATAGTTTCAACGCACACGCACCTGAAATCTCACGGTACCAACGACGATCTCCTTGGTGAGGGCGATGCAGATCAGATGCTGGGACCACTCGTACGGTGAAAATTCCACGCAGTAGATCCGCTCGAAGAAATTCCGTTTGAACGTAGGCGGCGTGGTGATTGCTTCGTCCATATCTATCTATCTATCTATCTATCTATTTATCTCTCTCTCTCTCTCTCTCTCTCTCTTTCTCTTTCTTTTTATCGTCAATATATACTTGCGTACGCGCGTGAAAACAGAACAACCGGCATAACCTGTAAAACGCGGCGGATTAGTTTTTCGCGTCTTCCCCGCGTCGTTGGAAGATCAGATCGCGATCGCGGAACGTACTTCGCGCTTCGACGAGGTGAAAATACAGTTTCGCGGTGAAGACGAAGAAGCGCGACGTCGTTGTGTTTTTTCTCACCGAGATCACCGAGCGAAAGGAAGACGGACGCGCGCGCGCGCGCGTTCGATTTGAGGTTAGATCTTCGTCGGCAGCGCGAACGCGGCACGTTGTCGCCGAGAGGGCAGCACGCGTCGGTGTGCTGCGATCGTCCGGCCAGCGTGCGGCAACCCTCAGAAAAATCTGGTGGAACTTTTGGGCCTGGTGGACGAGGAGCGGTGCACGTAACGAGATCATCATCGCGGCGACGAAATTTCATCTCCACGAGTCCGGGCATGAATTGACGGACGGCGCGACAAACAGAAAGCAACACGCCGTGTGCGCGGGTCTTACCGCGGATCATCGTCACGATCTCGCGTTCGCGAGGTAGGTAGGTAGAAAAAACGGCGGTTTCCGGATCGCGGAGGCATGGTCGGCAACAAGCTGCTTCTACCGCGTGCTCCTTTTCCGCGGTACAAAAATGCGAATCCGGAAATTTATTTCCCGGCGACGCGTTTTGAACAAACAGGCGGCGATCATCCTTGCGATCGAGTGTGCGGATGTGTGTTCCGCGGGAATATACGCACGCGGTTTTCCTCCTCGGGGAATATGTTCCCCTTCGTCGGTCTTCTTCGCCGTAGCGCGGAAATTTTAACGCCGCGTTACTTGGGTCTTGCATCAGCTTCTCGGAAAATTTTTGCGAGGCCCACGTTTCTGGGAGTTCGAACGCGGTTACCAACGAGAGAGTGACTCTTTGGTTCGCGCAACGAGAATTTTTAATCAAAGAACGAAATTTCCGCGAGTCCCGACGTTAAATAAGAGAAGATCCTTATGGTTATATTGTTGTGCGCAAATACACTCCGGCACAATGTGTTTTTTAATTGTTACTCTCTTAATGTCCGCGCGATTCCTTGGACTGTAAATATTAATTTGTTTTATTTTTGTTTACGCAAAACCGTTCGCCGAACATATATGTGGCGATTAATCGATGTTAATCATCGCGCACATTGGAAGCGCACAGATGTTAAACACCGAAATAATAAAAATCTCATTTACATTCGTCTCTCTTATCTGACGAAGATAAGAAGAATTCTTTTGAGAAAAAAAAAACAATTATGCGTAAATATATATTTTTTTCGTTAGAGATAATTGATGTTTTTAACACGATCGTTTTTATTTTGTGCATTTCAGTGCCGTACCCTACACATATATAAGAATTTATATACAGAAATGGAATTCGGAGCGGGCGATGTGGCTCAGATATCAGCGGAATTGGCGCGAGTGGTTGAGATAATGATGTCGCCGAACGTACCTCAGCAACAACGATTGGAAGTGTACAACGCTTGCGAAAGATTCAAAGAGACTTCACCGCTGTGCGCTCAATGCGGCTTATATCTGGCACAGAAATCGCCAAATCGAAGCTCGGTCGTGCGTCACTTCGGTCTGCAGCTGATGGAGCATTGCGTCAAGTACAGATGGACGCAGATATCTCAGTCGGAGAAAATTTTTATCAAGGAGAACGCGATGAAGCTGCTTCAGGAAGGGACCGAGCCGTTGCTGCAAGAGGAGGCGCATATAAAAGACGCATTGTCGCGCGTGGTGGTCGAGATGATCAAACGAGAATGGCCTCAACAGTGGCCCACATTGCTGGGCGAGCTCAGTCAAGTTTGCTCGCGGGGAGAGAGCCAGACCGAACTGGTTCTACTGGTGTTTCTCAGACTGGTCGAAGATGTGGCTCTGTTGCAAACGCTTGAATCCAATCAGAGAAGAAAAGACATATATCAGGCGTTGACCACAAACATGGCGGAGATATTTAGCTTCTTTCTGAGACTGATGGAACAGCACTTTTCCGAATTTCAAAAGAAGAATGCCTTGGGACAGACGTCCGAAGCCGCTGCGCATGGCAAAGTCGTTCAAGTAAGATCTCGTGTTTTTAAAGAGAATACACACTTATGAATATTTAGACGAAGGATCTCTATATGATATGTTCTTTTATAAAACAGGTAGTGCTGTCTACTCTAACGGGATTTGTAGAGTGGGTTTCCATAAACCATGTGATGGCCGAGGACGGGAGATTGTTGCAGATACTATGCCTACTGTTGGGAGATCCGATATTTCAGTGCGCCGCCGCCGAATGCCTGCTTCAGATAGTGAATCGCAAGGGCAAGGCCGAAGATCGAAAGCAACTGATGATTCTATTCTCGGAAGAGGCCCTGAGGTTCATTTACACAGCGGCGACCGCTCCGCCGTCACTCGCAGGACCGACGGATTTTCACGAGAATCATTATCTGTTCTTGAAAAAGCTCACACAAGTAATATTTTCTTGACACGCGTCAATTGTGCTGATTAATTATCTATAATCACTTCTGTGAAAAACATGATCATTATTTTTATGTTTACATGATTGTTTCAGGTACTGACGGGAATGTCGACGCAGCTTTGTACCTTGTGGGGCAAGGACGACGCTTCTAGCGTGCGACCGACACATTTTAATCTTTTTCTAGACACTGTGCTTACATTCACCATGTATCCCAGTCTCACGCTTACGCATTTAGCGAATGCGATTTGGATAATGCTGTTCAAGCATGAACAGATCAAGACCGACTCGTTGCTTCTTACATATGTACCCAAATACGTGGAGCACACGGCGCCCAAGTTGATTCGCGTTACGTATCCGCAAAACAGACAGAGCAACGGCATAACCACGTACTGCCTCGCCGATTACGATTCCGAGGAGGAATTCAATGTGTTTCTCCATCGCTTCAGAATGGATCTGCTGGAAGGGTTCAGACACGCGACCATGGTTGCTCCTTTGGTGACATTCATGTACGTGCAACAGTGGCTGACCGCAAAGATCACAAAGGGCATGGCAAATCTGCAGTACAAGAGCGATCAGAGCGATCGAGAATATCTCGAATGGGAGGCGCTTGCTCAAGCGCTCGATTCGGTCGTGTCGCGAGTTTTGTTTATCAACGAACGACCAAGCGTGCAAACCGGTCTTCAGCTGTTGGAACTGTGCCTAAGTTACTCGCCGCAGGATCCCTGGTTGCTGTCGGCCCTACTCTCGTGCATAAGCGCGCTCTTTGTGTTTCTGTCTATGTCGACTGGCTCGATGGCGATGCCAGGTGTCGCTATTCTGCCGCGCGTACTCGAAAAAATTTTCGCCGCGCTGGTGTTCGAAGCACCTGGCGAGAGCGAACGCAGTCGTTCACGAGCGACGAAGAACGTGCGCAAACACGCGGCCAGTCTCATGGTGAAGATCAGTCTCAAGTATCCGTTGTTGTTGCTGCCGGTATTTGAGCAGATACACACGATGGTGCGCAGCTTAACTCGGGAACCCAGCCCGTTATCCCGAATAGAGAGCGTCACGCTCTATGAGGCGTTGCTTCTCATTTCCAATCACTTCTGCGATTACGAGAGGCAGACGCGATTTGTCGCGGAAGTGATCGGCGACACGTCGAGCAAGTTTATCGCACTGGGCACGGAATGGTTCAAGGGACCGCTAGAGCTCATGCGATTCGTGGGATTGGACCGACCGCCGGTGGAGAACATATTAGAAGATCCAGCCAGGTCTAATCGCAACGATCTCATGATGTACATTTGCACCGTACTGAGCGTGGTCAAACGATGCTCGATTCCCGAGGATCCCGATCGCGCCGCACGGGGAGGATTCGTAGCCGCGCTCAGTGAAAGCGGCAATCCGGTTTACCGTAACCCCGCCACACCCCACGTGATTCCCGTTCTACCAACGCTGTTTGCGCTGCTGCGAACGATGAACGCTCTCTTTAGTCCTCCGGCTCTCGCCGCTCTTTCAGATGTAATAATTTTATCTATCAAAATCTGATTCTTTTTTTTAATGATATGTTGAACAGATATTGAATATAAAACTACTCTTATATCTAGGGCTACAAGAATGCTCACGGACTTCTGGAATCGGAAAAGGCAAATCTTTTGGGCGTGAATATAACCAACGACAACACGAGCGAAACGGATCAACCGTCCAACACCACGTTGGTTCGAATGCAATCATTCCTTAGCACAATTCACGACCAGTGTTACCACATGCTGGGCAGCGGCTGTCACATGATCGGTCGAGATTTCTATCAATTACCCGGACTCGCACCGGCATTGTTAAATTCAGTTTTTTCAAACATGGAGGTAATCTTTTATTAAACTTTCATATTGCGAGGAAACATTTGTTTTTTATTGAAAAAAAAACAAAAAATGATTTAAAAATTATTTCCATTTTGCTCTAGGCGATTCCGGACTACAGATTACGACCAATCATACGCGTGTTCGTGAAACCCTTCATATACTCATGTCCGCCGGCTTTCTATGAGAGCGTACTAGTGCCTGTGCTCGCTCACGTATCCACACACAGTAAGTGAATTCACTTTCGTTCTTTTCTCACACTTCTTATTGCTATCTATGTAAGCGTTGAAGAAGTACATTCGCAATTACAATCTTTCATCAGTGTGCCAAAGATTAAGCGCGAAATGGCAGTACATCGCGCGTCTTTACGAATCCGGTGGATTGGACGAGGAGAACACCGACACGCAAGAGGTCATCGACGACATGCTGAACCGAAATCTGACGCGAGACTTTGTGGATGTACTCAAAGTTGCTCTGGTTGGCGGAGCCGCCAGCGACGCCACTCCTCCGGACACCATGGAACAGGACAACGGCGGGATGGCGGTGGATCCTCCGGTTTCGCGAGGAAACAGCATCATTGCCGAGGTTGTCAGCGAACTCGGGGCTTTCATTCTGCGTCATCCGTCCACGTGTCACAGCATTGTTCTCTGCGTGCTAGGGTAATTGTTATGTCCGCTCTGTGCAGTAAGATGTAACGTCTCGTAAGAGTTACTTTTTGGAACATGCTTGTTTTTTTTTTTATTTTTTTATTTTTAGAGCGCTCGCGTGGAACGACTCGAACGCGAGTCTCAAAGCGACGATGTTGACCGGACCTGTGGTTCGAGCACTGGCAGCTGACGGCAGCCTGACTCCTTCTATGGCAGCACATATTATGGTCGCCGTTCTCCAGGGTTTACAGTTACATGGTCAGCACGAGGCTAATCAGGGTTCTCTCATAACTCTAGGTGCGCAGGTCTATGAGTGCCTTAGACCCAAGTTTCCAAATATCATCGAAGTGATGCAGCAAATCCCGGGAGTCAATCCCGCTGACTTGCAGCGGTTCGATGAGAAAATGTCGGTGGTCAGTACGAAGGGCAACAAGGTGGAGAAAGGAAAGAAGGATCTCTTCAAGAAAATTACGAATCAGGTAACGTTAATCGAGTGTTAACATATTCGTTTCTTCATTGAAATTGATAACGTGTCGAAAAACAATTAACCGGTCGGGTGTTGATGCATCTTTTACAGCTTATCGGCAGAAGCGTAGGTCAGTTGTTTCGCAAGGAAGTCAAAATAGACAATTTGCCGCGGATAGAAGTGTTCGGTAAACCTCAGCCGGTGCGCGTGGACGAGATCTCGAAAAACGCCAGTGATACGGGAATCGCGGCTCTATTTGCCGGGCCTACGTAGCAGACAGTTTTAGAGAGCCACACTTTACATAGTTGGTCTAACTCAATAAACGATTATAAATTATTGTAAAAATGAAAAAAAAAAAACAAACAAACGTTCTCCACTGAGAGACGGCCGGATAAAAGACGATCCTAAACAACTGAGAAAGTGTGTTTTACATTGAGCATGTATCGTGCTCATACTTGATTATTAAGTGCTTCGAATAAGTCTTGGGTACAAGTCGTGAACACAAATTTATATCTACGATGGTGTGACTGACGAGACAATTTTTCTGCATTTTTTCCTCGCTTTAAAACAAATCGTTCAATTGCGTCCGCAATACAAAAATGTAGCCATGAGTTTTTTTTATATTACATTGTTCTTATATTTTCCCTCTTTTTTCTCATATTTATTATCGATTTTAGAGTAACTTATCAACTTTAAGATATTTATGCTTGAGAAAGACAAATTATGGCCGATATATCAAGTTTTTCAACGTTTTGTGATCTTTTTCACGTCCAATGTGTTACGTGTGTATTGACGACACAATGTCTTCAAGATATTTATACTAGAACTGATGATGTCCGGTTTCTTGGAATAATAACCGGTTATTCGAACTCATATTATTCGGGTAGTATCCGCATGCTTGATTCTACATTATAATTTTTATAACTTATATTATCTCCATAGTGTCCGTGTCATTCGAGTTATTTATATATCAAGAGTATCGTGGTATCTGTTTAGATAACAGGTAGAAAATCACATGTAAAACTATTTTTCCTGGTATTTACTAGATTAAAAAACCTTGCATTAAACACACACATTCTGATACTCTTTAAGTATAAATATCTAGATGATACGGGCATTCAAATATGAGATAATACGGTTCTCGGATAACACGGTCCAAATCATCAGTTTTAACTCGTACATCACGCGATGTTATATCTTTTGTTTTTCTTCGACGAATTGAGTCAATCGAGATTAGGGGAAGATTGCTCGAGAAGAAGCGAATTATTGTGATAAAATGTGTGTGGAACGACTGAACTTTTAAAACGATATGTTGTGTGTCGAGTGATTTTTCGGAACTGCCAGCTTGAGAATATGTTGTACGAGAGAAATGTGACTATCGTGTGCGAGAGAAATAAAATTATTGTAGAATATTTTCACTTCCTCTTCTATTTTTTTTTTTTTTTTCTTACATTTTTTTTTCTTTTTCGCGCTAATTTCCGAACTATGTCTCCGAAGTCTGCGGTAGTATTTGTAGCATGTTGGATCTGTTCTCTTTAGCTACGTGCTTGTATTTTTTTTTTTTTTTTTATCGATTTTATCGATCACAATATACGCGTTTTGATTTCCACGCGAGAAAGAGAGACAAAGAAGGGAAGCGAAAATTTTCGCAAAGACAGTGCAGCTAAAAAGAACACATCTGTTGTATACTACGTTAAGGATTTCGAAGTATAGTTTATTAACATCGGTGTCATATAATGTATCTATACAGATATAGAGGTATATATATATATATATATATATTGTACAATACAATCTTACATAACGGATTGAGAGATTTTCTTTCTATCTCCGCGCGAAGATAGAAGAGAAAACAAACAAACAAAAAAACACAAAAAAAAACAAAAAGAAAAGAATCGTAATCGCTCGTCTAATACATGTATATGTGTATATTGCGTTTCGAATGTTTCATATTATAATAATGCGATTATCGTTGATCTTTTCCGAGGCGCGAGTGCCTTTTTTCATGCCCACCCACTCCCAACCGAGAGGTCGACGCCGAGGAAAAGGATTTTTATGTATGTTATAAAACAAAAGAAAAGGATCGATCAACGTCTTCCTTATAGCCAAGTTCTTTCTCGCGATGAAAAATCGAAATTCGCAATAAACAAAACTTAAGAGAGATCGACGGCGAAAAAAAACAATTTTGCGTATACTACCGCGCCTATATATTCATTAAAAAGTTTTTTCGCTCGGCAGTTTTAATCGAGAGGATGTAAGCAAGAGAATGCCATACGAAATCTGTATATTAAGACGATTACAAATTTTAAGGTAATTAATGATGATAATAATTAATAAAAAAAAAACAAAAAAACACAAAACGTGCAAATGACAATTAAATGCAATTAAGAAGTAGGCGGTCAAAAGAACGTGAGATTTAATCGTGCAATTGTTGCAGAATCACTTCGAAGACAATTCGGGTGTTTTCTTTCTTTCTGTAGAAATAATATTGCATATAGGTTGTTGAAAACGCAGAAACGAGAGAAGAATCACACCAGAGGAGTCTCGCTATCAATTCTATACCGTATACAGTAACATATCAAAACACGTTTTAGTCCACTTTAAAAAACAAACGCATTTTGTTTCACACACGTCTCGGTTGTCTCTTCTAGGCTGACGATAGAATGCATTTTGCGCACAAGACGGATTTCTTGTTTGTTGTAAGCGATTGTTGTTACGTCCTTAGATTTCCCGTCTCGCGTGCATTGCCATTTACGTTTGTTCCCCGCCGCGTTGAAGCGACGCGTTTTCAAATTCGACAAATTCAAAACAATTTTCGATTTAATCTCGTTCGAACAAAAAAAATTGTCTCGCGGCGCACGTGCGCGCGCCACTTTCCCAGACATTCCACTCTTGCGTTTCTTTTCAAGTTTGCGGGATTTTTTTTTTTGTAGAAAATTTGTGTGAGAAGAGGTAGATAGCTCAGGTGACAAAGGTAATTTTCATTGCTCAGAGCGTGAGAGATGCTTAGCTCTCTCTCTTACAGAAGCGCATTTACTTTTCCTTCTTCGACACGGAACGACAACGACACGCGTAAAAAAAACGTATCGCCAAGTTTTTTATCACACACTCACACGCACGCAGAATGTTTCACATCTTCATCCTTTTTTTTTTGCCATATTGTTTTTTTTTTTTTTATTTTTAAGAATCGCGTACGCTAACTGCGACAAGTAATGTATGTACATTTATTATATGGTGACCATTGACGAGAGGTCTACGTGTGTTACATGGCACAAAAATCAATTAGAATAATTAGAATTGCAGTACGGGGAAGTCATTCTGGTATTACAAAAAGGATTTTTTGTCATCTCGCGCGATTCACCTCGCGTTGATTCTTTTTATACGTTCAACCCTTAAAAGTGTAAAAAAAAAAAAATCGAGTACCAAAAAGTCTGTAATATCTGGATGGCTTCGTGATTGGGCCTGAGCACACACACACACGCCCAGAAAAACGAAGTAATTATCGCACTTTGTTGTAAATTTTTAATAAATGTTAATTTCACGCCAGGCGAAGAACAAAAAAAAAAAAAAAGAAAAAAACGGCAGGAACTCGTTCGTTTTCGCAAACTGCCAGATTTCGCCCCGCGATTTTTTGTACACAACACAAACAGCTCGAAGTGGAACCAGCTACACAATCTTGTATATATATTATATTGTAATAAAGAAATTGCATTGACAATAACAATCGTACACATTCAGTGTTCCCTGAAATCTCTTCTGCAAAAAAATTCGCACAAGCGCTGCTGCCGATCAGAGGTGTGTTGCTTTATTTCACTCGATGTGTTCGAGCGAGAGAGATGAGACGTGTCTCATCCTCCTTTCTCCTAATTCGGCGAATGCAATATCTCACAGATTTAATTCACGTTCACCATGAAAATTTCACCCAATGTAAGTTTACATAGATATTTATTTTATTCGTAATATAATTAAAAACTTATAATTGCTTATAAATTTTTTCGAAGAAATGTTTCAGTGAGTTGATTTTTTTTTTTTTTTTTTTTTTTGCGACGAATCCATCTTTTCTCGTAACTCAATGCACATTGCGCGAAGATTCTGGAACGGTCCTTGGCGTTAAATACCCTTGATGTAGCTCCAGTCATTTTGACACACACACACACACACACACACACACACATTCCGTATGCACATATAAATATTCTTTTTTCTTTTATACGGATAAAAAATATATTCTCGTCGAGTTACGTTAGAGAGTGTTCGTGTCTTCAACGATGTACAGCGCGTTACATGCATTTGTTACATATATACATATGCAGAACGTACATATAATCGAGTCGCGTAAAATTTATTTATTATTATTGCACTACTACGTTTGCATTCGCAAGTACAACGACAACAAAACGACGTTGTTTCAGCGTCAGCGTCCCTTGAAAAATTGCATATTAACAATAATATATAGATGTATTATGTACATAAATATTCATTTCTTTTTTTTTTTTTCTTATTACATTCGGCATGAATCTCATCGAACATGGTGTCGCTCGTTAAAATTAAAAGAGAAAAATGCATTAAAATTATCTTTGGAATTCGACGCAAGCAGATTTTTTTTTGTGTCCCAAATGTACAGCAAAATGTTCAACGACGACAAAGAAGCGCTTCGCTTACTACACAACAACATCAACATCAACATCAACATCAACATCAACATCAACAACAACAACAACAACATTGATCACGTCATTTCGCGAATTTGTTCAGTCGCGAGCGCTACGTTTGGAATGTAAGTGTTATTTAAAACATCGCACACACACATGCACGCGCACTATTCGTTCGTCGTAGTGCACTACTGTCTGCACTAACGAATTCTAAGCACGATCTGCACATACACACACACACATTTGCAGCCCGGATTGTTACTTCGTCGGTCTTTGGTGTACAACGTCGTTTGCAAAAATTTCTTTAATTTTTTTTTTTATTTTTTTTTATTCGCTCTCCGCGCGTTTATTTTATTATAGGTATCGCAGATCGAAAAAAATCGTTAAGCGAAGCTCGCAACGCGTCCTACTTTCAGATCAAGAAGCACGTGACGTGTCACGACATGCAGAGAGACAGGAAGACAAGACTGTGTAAAAAAATTAAGTTTCTCTTTATATTATATTTTTACGACTTGTTACATTTAAATTCTCGTAAAAAGACGAGGGTTGTTTCAAATTTCGTTGATTTTTTTTTTTTTGTTTTCGTCGCGCGAGAAACGCACTCTTTGCCATTAGATTATTGACAGTTTTTCGACGAAAAACGCGCGCCACGCTCGTCTTAAATTTCACACACGAACGATTTTCTTTTTTCTTTTTTTTTTTTTATTCTTTTAATTCGCTCTCAGTCGCCGTAATAAAAAAACCTCTCCGGCGAGATTTTTTAACTCCAGACGGTAAAAAAAAATATACATATATTCTCATAAAATGCACTCACGGTATCTAAATACATATACAAACGTGTATATATACATATATATATACACTCGTACACAAATAACATCTATATATATTTCGATGCTCGATACATAACATACATACATAAAATGCACCTAAAACTCCCCCCCTTTCTCTCTCTCTCTCTTTTTCTCTCTCTCTCTCTCTCATCCCTGATCCAGTTTTGTACTCGTCGAGACGAAGGCAGATCTCGAACAGTCTCCTATGATATATATTCTCTTCAATCTCCCCCTTTTGCTTTGTATACATATATATATATTTATATGTCACTGACAATATTTACAAAAATACAATATAACATCTCTCATTGTTAATAAATATCTCTCGTTAGCTTTGAGTTTTTTTTTTTTTGAGCAGTCAACAAATGTAAGGCGAGTACGTTTTTTATTTTTCTTCATCCCTTAGACACACACTTAATCGACTACTACTCGCGCGCGCGCGCGCGCGCTCATAACCGAGATATATCTTACATTATTCTCTCTTTTATATATATAAACCTCACTTATATATCCGTTCCGTGTGTATGTTCCTCTAATGATATTTCGGCATAATTCTAGTATCATTACGGATATATCTATCCATCATTAGTATCTGGTCGTTATTTGCAACACGCAGTTTGTTTGTTTTTCTTTTTTTTGACTTTTCCATTCTCGAGTGGTGATACACACACACACATACGTGCGAATTAAATAATAAAAAAATATTAATTTATATATAAATACTATATAAAACTCGAGTATATATGTATGTAATACTTTTGCTTTTTTACTTACTGTATATTGAACACGTACGCATTGTTAAAAGAAAATTATATATACGTGTAGTTGTTTTTTTCACTACACAATCATGCGGTTAAAAAAATCCCAAAAAATTAAAACGAACAATAAGTCATCAATTTCTTGCAATTCAAAAAAAAAAAAACACTTTGAATGTATCAAATTATATGGAAAATTATATGTAAAAATTATTACAACTGTCGAGATACTAAAGATGAATGTCTATCTAATCTAAATGCTATTACGATCTCAATGCAGGCCACACGTTAGATCATATAGGTAATGTATATCGTCGCGCGAGAAAATATCGGCACAATTGACCCAAAACGATCCTCATGTAACAATGAGGATCGTTTCATGTACAAGCATTCCCTTTCTTACCTACCAACAAAAATACGTCCATATTGTCCTTGCCTTTGACGTACACCTGTCCCCGCGGCTCGAATTCGTATCGCTCTGATAAAACGTCAAGGCTATTGCTGGCCATCTGTATTCTGCCGGCCACTCCGGTGGAGTCCATTCGCGACGCTATGTTGACCGCGTCGCCCCAGATGTCGTAATACAACTTGGTGGCGCCGATCACGCCGGCCGTTACGTCGCCGTAGTTGAAGCCGATTCGTAGAATCAGCTTGAAGCCCAACAGATCTCGATTGAAGTCGCAGATTACTTTGTGCATCGCAACCGCAAAGTCCAGCAGCTGAAACAGATGCGTGTACTCGTGTTCGCTCTGCTGCCTCACCTGCGGATTCAAACCGCTCGCGGCCATGAAGGTGCTGCCAATCGTCTTGATTTTCTCGACGTTCGCGAACTCCGGCTTCTCGAGCAGCTCGTCGAAGTCGCCTATGAGCTCGTTGAGCACGCGGAGATACTCTTTGCCGCCGAGATACGACTCGTCGTACAGCTCGTTGAAGTTGACGATACTGGCGAATATGATGCCGACAGACTTGTGATTCTGCGAGTACTTGGCGGTGGTCTTCAACTGATCGGCGACGTACTTGGGTATGATATTGTGAAGCAGCCAGTCAGCTTGGTTCTTCATCGACTGTACGCGCGCCTTGTCGCGCGCCGCCACCGCGTTGCCGTGGAAGCACAGCCGGTAACTGATTTCGAATTCCCGGTTCAAAAACCAAACCAGTAACAATAGCAGCACCATATCGAGATATATTTCGGAATTGTACAATCTTTCGTTGTATGGTATGTGAGCCGCCTCTCGAGTCGCGGAAGACGCCTCTTGCCGTACATGCGTCGCGACCGACGGCGGCACTTTTGTCGTAGCTGCAGCGGAAAGAAAATCTCTCGTAGCGTCCAGATCGCTCGCAATCGGTTTCAACATGTTCGGATGCAGCGCGACCAATTGCGATGTGTTGCTACGACCTCTACCGCTACTACTATTACTATTACTGAGATTCATCTGATGATACGGCGATATGTGACTCATCACGAGGCATATGAACAGAACGCCAGTCAGGGTTACCAGCAGATTCTTCATCCAGCAGTTAAGCTGCGTAAAATTGCAAAAATGAACGAGCCCGACGAAGATCAGATAGCTGTAGTAGTACTCAAAATTGTTGAGACTGCGTAAAACGTTGCACGTGAAATTAAGCAAGATGGAGATGATCGGTAGACCGACCAGGATAGCGCCGCACACGTGCCACGGATACCACAGCGAGAAGAACTTGAATATCTTCTGCGTGAACGTTGCGTGCGCGGTGTTTGGATATAGAAGCTGCCGAGTGCATAGCGATACCGCGATCACTTGAATGGTGGTGGCGAGTACGAAGAACACGGAGTAATATACCGTCGGTTTGCACAGCAGAAAAAGAGAGACGGTGATGGCCGTGTAAACCAGAGCGGATATCAGAATGTCGAAGTACGTGTTGAATCTCGAAGTGGCCAGAGTGGGTGGATTACCGCCGATACTCTCGTTGGCCTTGTGCGCATTCTCCCGATACTCCTTTTCCATTTCTTTGTTCTTGAAAAAGAGAGTGATGCTCGAGAGCGGCGGTTTGACGAAATACGAACGTTGCGAGGTCACGTTGTCTTGAACGCATCTTGAAACACAAAAATCATTTACTTGGAAAATAGTTTGCCAAAATTTTCAAAACACAATTTCTAAGAGCAGCCTTGCTCACCTAATTAACTGGAGATCGGATTGTTTACGAAGTTTTTGAAAACATGCACCAAAGGTATCGGTCACCATTGGCGGGAACGGATAAGGAGGCACCGAAGACGAAGGTTCGTGCGTGGAGTTCAACGTCGAACTAGAAGTATAATAACCACTGACTCTGTGTGCTAATAAATCACCCTGAGCCATACCATTCATCAAGAACAACTGCAAAAAGAGTATTATTTATAAAACAATGTATATCCAATTGTGTCACTTAGCACGTACGAGATTTTTTCACTAAGTTAATAAAGAAAACAGATACCTGTTGTTGTATACTACTCCGTCTGCTGTTGCTCTTGATTCCGGAATCTTTTCTGCTGCAAAGGGAAGAAGCGTGACTAATCGGTTCTTGACCAGATAATAAAGGACTAGAAGGTACAGGATTCGGATCCATTTCGACGCCGTTGTTCAGAGGAACCTACGTACGTATCGGTGAAAGCCAACTATATATGTATCTCAAATCGTAAAGTACACGATCTCGTTAGACAAAAAGATAACAGAACAATAAGGCTGCTAACCTGTCTGAATCCGTTGCATTCCTCATACATCGGAATGTCGGGTTTCGCTCGTCCCATAGCGATATTCCTCCCTTCTTCTATTTCCAATGGTGTCATTTCCTCGGTCGTTCGCTGTCTCTGCAGATATTTCCACGGTTTGTTCCGCACTTTCTTTTTGCCGTAGCTAGCGGTGGACGTCGGACTCTTGTTCGAATCTTCTTTTTCGTCCATGGTGTCGCCGTCGTTTTCGGAGTCCAAGATACTGGGCAACGAATTGGCCTTCATTCGGTAGTTGCTCGCGTTGGTGACCATGTAGAGATAGTGATGCCGCGGTTTGGTTTGAGTGTTGCAAGACGCCACGCGATTTCGCGATTGCAGCAACGGCGAGATGCTCTTGGGCGACGCGACGTTCGTGATGAACTGATTCATGAAGTCCGATTTGCGGGCTCTGATGAAGTAAGTTTTAACACCTGTGAAACGAGAGATGAAAAATACACAACTTATAAAACAGAAACTCACGTCTCTCCGATTTCTTCTGTTTTTCTTTCGACATCGCGTTTACTCACCATTGACTATCTCCCCATCCTCCGTGATGTACTGATCTCCCAAAAATCTCAAAGTGTTCTCACTCAAGTGCACACGGCCAGGTTTGCCCGTGCTCTCCAGCTTGTTCGCAAGAGTCACGTCGTTCGACCAGACATCGAACTTAAATCTCTTAGTACCTACAATTCCGCACAGAACAGTGCCCGTGTGCACGCCCACTCTCATGTTCACACCTTCCCGTCTCTCGATGTCAAATTGTTTTATAGCTTCGATCATAGCTATCGAAAAACAAAAGCAACGTATGTAGCGTTAGATTGACATTGTCTGAGAGCAGCGCGTATTATAATAACAAACATGTGCTTTACATACCCAGACCCATTTCTATGCAACACTTGGCGTGATCGGATCTCGGTTCGGGACATCCGCTCACGCAATAATAACAGTCCCCTAACGTTGAGATCTTTTCGCATCCGTGATGCTCGCAAAGATCATCGAAACGTTCGAACAGATCATTGAGAATGCCCACTAATTCCTCGGCAGTCTTGTTCGAGCTCATTCTAGTAAATCCAACAATATCGGCGAATAGAATACTGACATTTTCCATCGAGTGCATGTTAAATGGGCGGAACAACGAACGGATGTCAGTGTTATTGGAAGGTATCGAGCCCTTCTTCAAAGAATCTTCTCGCTCTCTCTCGCGCTCGCTCTCCTCCATGAGCCAGTCCGCAACCTTTGGCGGCATCACCGAGTGTATCATCTTCTCTTTCAATTGCTTCTCCATTTCCAGCTGGCGACGTACCAGAAGAGACTGACCGACCTTCATAAATGTGCCGCGCATTCTCACGAAGGTCATTATTAAGATATGCACGCCTATCAAGTGGATGCAAATCTGCATCAAGATTCTTATTGCGAGATTCGTGGAGAAATCAATATCATCGGCGAACAAACTATCACTAGCATAATTATCTACAGACGACGAGTTAACGGCGATCGCCGATTGTACAGTGGAATTTAATCTCGATAGGATATTCGAACTGCTTAAAGCGTCGTTCATTTGTTGAGCTTCTTGTTCCAGAGAGAATCTCGAGCCCAAGCTCATCGTATTTCTGCCTTCACGCACCAGCGTCAACATCGTTTCCGTGCTGCTAATCGTAGTAAGATCACTAATATTACGTATCACATTCCGTAGACCAGTAACAATTGAAGGATTCTTCATGGACGAACGCGCGGATGCCAGCGCGCCACTGTCGGCTGTCATTTCCGAGTAATTATGTTGCACAACAACTCGTTCCACGTCTCTGGGGCCGTACAGATAAGCGGTCAAAAACTCGAACATAAACGAGTAAAACGTGGATATTCCTACGCAGGCGTAGAGCGGCATCGGCAATACCGTGTAAATAAGTAATAAGATCTCTGTGCATAGAGCGAAATGTCCGACCAGAGTCAGTCCGTCCATGTGGGGAGGTACCATAGCGAGGAAGAGCAGGGACAGGAAACAGAGCACGAACGCTACTCCCAGAGAAATCGGTAGTACGCGGGACTTGTAGTAATCCGTGTGTGTTAAATACAACACAGCCGCGACTGTGACGCTGACGATACCACAAACGCCGGCTATCGCCGCCCATGTCAGCGCATCGTTTTCACCGCCGATTATCACAAAATACGTTAGCCATGATAAAGACACCAACAGAATATACGTGAGAGCGTACCTACGGAAAACAAAAAAAATTCATAAATTTTTCTGATTCGCAAACATCGAAATCGCATTATTGTCAGTATGTAACGTTGATACGAACCGAAATCTTAATCTAATTTGGGGAAAGGCACTTCTCTTATATTGTTCCTCCAGTATCTCCGAATCGAATCTAGGATTCCACCATGATCGTGGAGCTGCGCGTTCGAACGGCACTGGCAAGCTTACACCGCAACATCCCAATCCCTGACTACTGTGTGCTAGGTATGTTTGTATATAGGGTGCTAGAGATATATGAATCTCATCCTCGGCATCCTCGCTGTCTTCTTTTGCTCTGGTAAAACTGACGGATGAGCCACGCTTTCGATTCAGTTGTGGAGTCATGTTGATAATCTAATGTAACTGAAACAAATCACAATAGTGTTTTAAAATATTGCAGTTGTGCGATCTAAGTTGCAGCAAAATAAAAGCTATAAAGAAGTTTTGTACAAAATAACAATTTTATTGAACATTATCGATTAAGTACCAGGTTGCTCTTTAAACCCTGATGAAGTGAGCTGAAATATTAATGAAACATCGGTATAAGAATGACACTAACGCGGTTCAAACCCAAAAAAAAACATCTTTGTACGTTAACAAACACACCGCGAAAGCATCAAATATCAGATTATCAATAAACATCATGTATTCAGCTACGTAGATCTCTACATATGGTTGTCATTTTGTTAAAAGTGACTACAGCTGTCTCTCAACAATAGCATATATAATGGCTAATTAACGCTACGTCTCATTGGAGATTCACAATTGTCACAATATGCGTGTGACAATGTTTTCATTTCGCAATAAAAAAAAAACCTGAAGAAAAACACAAGCGCAACACAATTTTTCATCACACAAGTCCGTGTCATTTTTGACGCAGATAACTTTTTTGTGCAAAATAATATAATTTTTAATTTCGTCGTGTTAAACACACGCAACACAACACGGTGTGTACACAATCGGATGCGGCGTATCCTTCGTCGGCTTCAATGTCAACCGACGAACCACTCTTTCGTGTTGCGAATTTGGTGATACAGAATCGGGAAGTAGCTCAGAACTCACCGGATGATTCACTTCTGGTCTGGGACGTCGAAAAATTTGAGAAATCATCCTCCTCCACTGACATCGAAGGTGCCACGCGGGATCAGCTATTGCCGCGGAACGTCATCGCGGTTCTCGCGGTTGTCTCTCCCTCTCGTTGAAGGCGTCGTTGAAAAGATCGGGGGTAGACTGTCCGCAATCAATCCCCGCGGCACGGAAACCAGCACGAGGAGCGACTTGTCGTGGGTGTAAAAAAAAAAAAATCACGTTGTCTCGACGAGACCACTGGAACGTCTTCCGTGCCAATGCTCCGCGGACATCTTGAATCCATTACACACGCTGCAGACAGTCGATGACAGCGCCCAGACAGCCTTTTTTTTTCCGGACGTTTTGCAATTGGCTACAGCTTCAGCGGACGGATGATTGGCTGGCATAGAACTACTCGCCTTCTGTGAGTAAAAGTTCCATTGGCGCTCGCAACGATCGCGAGCGTAGGTCGAGTTTACAATGTTCTATTGCATTGGTCGATTTCCCAGAACATAACGAATGCGATTGGACTCAATGTGAACGCGATCTACGCTCTCGATCGTGACGGGCGCCAAGTGAAACTGTACACGTGGTTCGAAGTGTCTTGCCTGTAAAAAACCACGTGGTCTAAATGCTGCATGAGTTTGACAACTGAACACGTCGCTGAGCAACGCGCGTTTTACTTGCGTGTAAATTAATATTTCAGTATAAAATTAAATAAAAATACAAAGAGTATAAAAAAGTAAATATTTCAGAGTATATATATATATATATATATATATATATTTTTTTTTTAAACTTTAATATATAACACTAAAATAAAATTATTCAAAATATAAATTTATTTTCTGAAAACTGAGAAACATTTCTTACTGGAAACATAATAACATCTGATTATTATTAAACATATGTAACATGTAAGACAGTGAAATCATAGCTTTGGCGAAAACAGATATTTTATATGTGATTAAAAAGCTTTTGTTTTACTATTGTGATTCAATACTTAATTTTTTTTTTTAACACAAAAAACAGATGCAGAGTCATCAAGTCATTGAAATCAAAAGCTCAGCGATTTTGATATTGAAAGCATCTGGAGATAAACTCGAGATCTTAAATATAAGATTCAAACATCGGCCAGTTTTTTTTACTTTTTTTTCACTTTCAGTTTCTTATATTTTTTCTCTTCTTTACACGATATCATATTAAATAGGCTATTTTTTTTGTAAGACTGATGTGTTGTTATATATTTTATAATAAAAACGAAGACAATGTGACAAAAAAAAATTGTGAGAGTTTATTTACATCTATTTTCTAAGAAAACATCGAATTATGTAGAGCTTCCAAATCTTTTTCTCTCTCGACCGCTCGTTTCTTCTCCTTTCTGTACATTTCGTACTCTTCGTCATCCGTCGGCAACTCGTAACGACAAAGCGGACACGAATTGGTCTTTTCCAACCAAGGTAATATACATTCTTGATGAAACATGTGATGGCAAGGCATCAAATTCGCTTTATCATTCGCCTCAAACTGCTTCAAGCAAACCGGACACTGTTTTGGGTCAGCACGTTCGATCTTGACTTCCGGCAAATTTTTTACCACCGATTTTGAGGCCGGCGGCGGAAGTTTGTCTTGTCCGAGCAAGTCCCACATGCCAGAATCCCGCAGGAACCGCGCCATTTGAATCAAATGATTTGGCGTTTCTCCGTCGCTCAGAGGCGTCCAGCCCATTTCCGTGAAATAATCGGACATCTTGTCGGTGTCGCAGCAAGATGTTTCACAAGTAGAACGTGACGAAACAACACACTTTGACGCGACGTTCACTAAACTTGTATGGCGATGAGCGCGATAATGTGTCACAATTATCTTTGACAGTATACTCGTGAGCAAGTTTTTTTACTTCGCAGACATCTTGGTCACATTGCTGCGAAACAATCACGTTAAGTCACGACGTGCAACAATAGCGCAATTTGTGATTCACCAGCGGATCATAAGGATAGTCCATACGTCATTGTGTGTATGTACATGTGAGTTGGTCAGAAAGATTCTGAGGTCTGGGTCACGAGCAGCTGCACTGTGTACACCCGAAAGAATCCTAGGAAGGTTACGTGCAACAGTGTCCGGACGCGTAGAATTGCACGAGCTCTCGTGGGAAATTGAAGACACGTTAAATATAGATCACACGTAAATTATTTATAAACTTAAAAAATGCCAGATATAAAAATTACACCACTTGGCGCTGGACAAGACGTTGGTCGCAGCTGCATTCTTGTTTCGATGGGCGGTAAAAACATCATGCTCGATTGTGGAATGCATATGGGTTTCAACGATGAGAGACGCTTCCCGGATTTTTCGTACATAGTTCCCGAAGGACCCGCAACCAATTATATAGACTGCGTCATTATTTCTCATTTTCATCTGGATCATTGCGGCGCTCTTCCTTATTTCACAGAAATGGTAACATAACACAGTTAAGTCAATATTAATAAACAATCTTTTTATTTCTGTACGTGTGGTTTTTTTTTTGTTTACAGGTAGGCTATACCGGGCCAATTTACATGACGCATCCGACCAAAGCAATAGCGCCAATCCTGCTTGAAGATATGCGAAAAGTTGCGGTTGAGCGTAAAGGAGAGAGCAATTTTTTCACATCACAAATGATAAAAGATTGCATGAAGAAGGTTATCGCTGTCACGCTTCATCAGTCCATTATGGTCGATCCAGAATTGGAGATAAAAGCTTATTATGCCGGTCATGTGCTCGGAGCGGCGATTTTTTGGGTTCGCGTGGGATCACAGTCTATCGTGTATACCGGAGATTATAACATGACGCCAGATCGTCACTTGGGTGCCGCATGGATAGACAAATGCAGACCAGATTTATTAATATCAGAGTCAACATACGCGACCACCATTAGAGATTCGAAAAGATGCAGAGAAAGAGATTTTCTCAAAAAAGTATACCGCTTTGTTTTTATTCATTATTTATTATTAGTAACATAAAACAGATTTTGAACGAATATGTGTGTTTTTTTAGGTACACGAATGCATCGACCGAGGTGGAAAAGTATTGATTCCCGTGTTCGCGCTTGGTCGAGCTCAGGAATTGTGTATACTCTTGGAAACATATTGGGAAAGAATGAACTTGAAAGTGCCCGTTTACTTTGCGCTCGGTCTGACCGAGAAAGCCAACAATTATTACAAAATGTTCATTACGTGGACGAATCAGAAGATCAAGAAGACGTTTGTGCAACGAAATATGTTCGACTTCAAGCATATAAAACCGTTTGACAAAGCGTACATCGATAATCCAGGTGCGATGGTGGTGTTCGCTACGCCTGGCATGTTGCACGCCGGTCTCTCCTTGCAGATTTTCAAGAAATGGGCGCCTAACGAGGCCAACATGGTCATCATGCCGGGTTTTTGTGTGCAGGGCACCGTGGGACACAAGGTTCTGAATGGAACGCGAAAAATCGAGTTTGAGAATCGTCAGATTGTGGAGGTGAAAATGGCCGTGGAATACATGTCATTTTCCGCTCATGCCGACGCAAAAGGAATAATGCAATTGATACAGTACTGCGAGCCGAAGAACGTTATGCTGGTACACGGAGAGTTTGCTAAAATGGAATACCTGAAAGAAAAGATCAAACAAGAATTCGGTGTCAACTGTTATAACCCCGCGAACGGCGAAACTTGTATCATAACAACCACCTCCAAAGTACCCGTGGACGCTTCTTTGGCGTTACTGAAGGCCGAGGCGAAGAGGTACTCGATCTTACCACCGGATCCGAAGAGACGGAGACTGCTTCACAGTGTTTTAATGTTGAGAGAGGACGGTGTCTGTCTCATGGACGCCGATGAGGTAATTTCTTTTGAATATTATTTATTTAAGAGTTCAAACAAGTTTTATTATTGTGTAATAAATCGTGATTTGTGTTTCTTATCCTTTGGCAGATTACAAAGGCTGCGGGTATCACGAAACACGTGGTGAGATTCACATCTACCTTGCATGTGCGGGATTCTGGTCCGGCACATGCCACAACATTGAAATTATTGCAACCACTAAAAGAAAGATTGTCAGGATGGACAGTTCAATTGACGGACGGTTCTATATCGGTCGAATCTGTTTTGGTCAAAGTGGAAGGAGATGAGGACGAACAAAAGAGTGTTTATGTTTCGTGGACTAATCAAGATGAGGATCTGGGTAGTTATGTCCTTGGATTTTTGCAAACGATGTTAAATTGAGAAACTAAAAGAACATCATGCAACTTTTTCTCTATCTGTGATACTATAAGATATATATTTTGTCATTATAGAATGAACACTTGTGTAGTTCGACTTTGTATTAATATCAAAAGTGTATACCTATAGCCAAAGTAATTTTTCATCGTTAGAAGACATTTCATTTTGTGTATTTATTTAGAATTTACACTTCAATAAAATATAAATGGATTTTTATATAAATTTTTCTTAGGCTACAATTATTTTCCATGAAAGAAGAGAGAAAAAGTAAGACAGGAACTTTGTGTGTGTGCGTGTGTGTAAAGAATCACTTGCTATTATCAATAAATAAATGAGATATTAAAACTATAATAATCGAGAATGTTCGAGATTTCATAATATTTAGAACGTCAAGAAAGTAAAACAGTAAACTTTTATTAACTATGAATTATGTTTTCTAGTTACAAAACGATAAATAAGTACGCGGTGTACTAAACGTACACCTTTTACAAAAAATCAGTACAGCAATTCTATTTCTTTGCTTAATTGATCGATTGCACAAACAAACAAAGAATTGAGTGTTGAATTGATCCACTAATATATTGTTTAAACGCTCATGCAAGTGTTTACAGAAAATCATTTCCGGCTCCTAAAATATTAGCTACTACACTTTAACAACAATACAGAATGCTCCGGTTTACCCGATGAACAGAGAGATTAATTGAATATATAAACGTAGAGATTAATTAAATGTATAAACATAAACAGTTGCAAGCATAACTCTTTTAAATGCCTCTAAAATTGTTCAGTAATTTGAACTCGTTAAACAGTTTTCATTACTTGAGAATAAAAGTCTATGTGTATGAGCTATGTGAAAATTATCTGTCTTGTATACGTACGCAATATATATATATATATCTGCCTAGTTTCAGTACAACCGATGGGCGCAATTAATTTCAATTTGCTTGATTTGTTTTCTCTTCTTTTTTTTTTTCTTTTTTTTTCTTTTTTTTTTTGTATAAGACTGGCTCGTTCACATATATTCTCATCTTACTTAATTATTGCACATGAAAATCGATTAACAAATTTGAACTTGTGTACAATTGGAATTAACAATACGAAGATTATTTCCTAGCTGGTATATAAATCTCGTGTATCATGTTCATTCACTGTCAATAACGAAATGCTCTATATATATATAATGAATATACATAAATATAAAATATACAAATATATATTGTATATTTATATATATTTTTATGCGATATTATACATACAATATATGTATATATATATATATATTTTTTTATTTCTGGTCCATACGTCTAATAATTAAAAAAAAGAACAAATTAAATATTGACATTGTCGTTATCATGTCAAAAAAGCCAAATATAACCGTGATAAATAAATATATATGTAGAGCCCGTGCAGCTTCGCAACTTTTATATGACATTGGATAAACAACAGTCTCGAGAATTCTTGAATGAAAAATAAGTAATATCAGATTTTAAATATCATAATGTAGCGTAAAGTCATGGATGGAAAACACGAACAAATGTGACGTAAAATTTTTCCGAGAGTTGCAAAAACGTATACTGTTTTGTTCTGAATCTCTTTTTTTGTTACAAGAAAATAAAATCAGTACGAGCCTATCATAGATAATCTATAAACAATTAATATCGCGGCAATTCACTTTATGCGTAAAATTTGATAACTTTTACAATTGTGTATATAGATATCAGTGTGTACAGTCATTTATAATGACTATATAAATTGTATACACAGAATCATCACATATGCCTGTTATCTTAAAAATTTTTTTCCATTTAATTGCTACGCGTTTTAATTGTATATTTGTTTTTCTTCCACATAATAAAATATGATATTTTTTTACAATAAACATTATTGTAATATATTTTCACTTTATATTAGTCTTTTGAGTAGCAAAGTATGCTATTTATACCTATATATGTATATATATATAGTAGTGCTGTGTGTGTTCGCGTTTCACATTTGCACGTTCATTTCATTTTCTTTAACCACCAGGGATTACTCGGACTGCACTAGCGTAGCTTATTTTTCGAAGTTATTTTTTTCCTGAACCACCCTGAAAAAAGTACATGAACAGAATGAATGAGACTTATCCACAAATCGTATAAGTGATATTCTAACATGTCAAACAACAATGTTCCGCTAATTCTTGTTCTTCCATCGTGAACGAATAAATCAATAATTGTAACACGTGAATATATCGTATAGAAACGCGTCACGAATTTTGTTTAAATCGGATCAGGAAGAACAGAACTAAAAATCCGTGTGAGAAGGATTGCGCATAAAAATGCGCATTGATTCGTCATCAATGAAAGCGCATTTTCTTGCGTTATCTTTCACACATCCATGTAATAAACTTTAGCTACACACAAAAAACTACGTGCTCATAAATAGCATGCTATGATCGATTGTATGAGCACAAAAGCAACTCTCGAAGCATTCAAAAATCATCACTGTCGCAAGCTTATGTTAAGAAGCACACACATATAATGTGATAAAATTTGTTCAAGCAACAAGCAATACTTAGCACCTTGTTGACCAACTTTGTTTCATGCAAGAAACTAACTAACACGTCTCTGTCACTAGACAGAAATTAATTCATTCTAGAAATTTCAACATCACCAAAAAGTGATGAACGTTGCAAGCTCTAGTTCTTTCACACAACGTTCGATAGACGAGTTGATAATCTGGTCAACAGTGTATCGACAAAACATACAGAAGCAACTAACAAACAAAGTCATAAAAAAGGAGAGAAATAAAACTTGAAAACATAAATAAATAAAAACACAGTGAGAACTACTTAGCCTGTATAATTTATATTCGATTTTCTTCGAGATTCTACAAAAAAGTGGCATATATACGCGTACAATATGTGTACGTGTGCCATCTCTCTTGTGGAATATCGATAAATAATAATCTTATATACCCTTATTTATGCCACCATCATCTCTATTGCAATATTCCATTGCCTCTCTGTTGCAATTATATTCGCAGAAATATAAAATCTTGTTTTTTTTTTGTTTTTATTGAAAACAACATACAAAGCGTACGTGTGTACATACAAGAAAAGCAACTAAAACAAAAGCCTGTCGGCTCTGTGTTGTTGACAATTAATCGGATTAATAAATATGCCATTCGCGCAGTGTACCCTTTACCCCAGTGTTTGTGCTGATAAAAATTTCTTTTGCGAGGTAATTTCATGTATATATATAATTGTTTTTAATTATATTATCCATGTTGTGTTACTTCGACTTTTATTTTTTTTTTCAATTCGTATCTTTTCCACTTATCAAAAAATACTTTCGTATTAATTGTATAATTCTCTTTTGTAAAAAAATGTCGATATACATGTAATTTATATACACATATAATTATAAAGATTTATTTGACAACCATTTTTGCGCGTGAGTTGCAAACCATAATCTCGGAGAGAATAAAAAAAAAAAAACAAAAAAAAAAGATAACTCGTAATTGTTTTTCTTTGCATTTCTTTGTGTCGAAATGTACAAAATGTCAAATGTCAAAATCTAAAATATAAAGCCAAAAATAGACACTGTGCAACGTGGTTTTTGATACATATATAAACATAATTAAAGTAATGCCATATAAAAACTACAAACAATTAATAATAATAAACAAAAAATCTGCGCGAACACATAGTATCTTGTCACATTCTTAAATAATTATATATATATACAGATTTACATATATTCATGTTATAAGAAAGAGGAGTTTTCTCTGTAAGTGACATCTCTCCTTTCTGATACTGTCTATGCCCAAATTTTAGTAAGATGAACTAATACAAATTAACGATATTATAGCTCTCAACAGTTTTACATTACTGAGAATGTTTCTCGCTTTCAAGTAAATAAAAAAAAAAAAAAAAAAACAAACTTATATACACACAAATACATGAATTTCGAAAAAAAATGTAGTGCACTGAGATGTGAATACAAATGTAAAATTTAACATCAAAGAATAATTAAATGTATACGATGAAAAAAAACATAATTATCAATGATGAAAAAATGAGATAAACCCTGACGTATGAGAGAATCGCTCTAAAACGGTAGTGTCTACTATTAAAAATTTCTCGAAAAAGCTAAGAGGTAACATTTCAACATCTTCATCGTTAAGATTTTGCATACCTGCGAAACTGCGCCGTTTTGCCGTGGTTTTCTTAGTGGACTGTCGAAACAATCAAAACAGTTAAATCGTTATCGATCACAGAGCAAGCATTTAAACAAAGGCTAATTTTTTTTGTTTTTTTTTGTTTTCTCAATCGCACAATTTGTGACACAATTCGCGAGACCGTCGAACTTATCGTTTCTTTACAAACAAAACCTCGGGATAAACAAACACTGGGACAAAGACTACTTTGTTGAAATTAAAACTTTCTCAATTGATACTACTACTGCGAGGAGATTCGCAAGGAAAGATATGGATGGCCGATGTAAAGTCGGTCAACAAAAATCAATTCTACTCCGTTTAGAAACAAAAAAAGAAGTCGCCGCGCGCTAGTGCTCACATTGCAAATCATAAATTTGTTTCCTAACGTGTAGGGACATCTGAAAATAGACAAATCCGAAAATACAGAGATGGAAAAATCGCAATACACTGCAAGTGCATGACGCAATTTTTTTTAATAACCATACTCGGATTCGTTGAAAACATTATTTTCGCGGCAGTTTAAACTTATACATGTATAATAAATATTGTTTTTCCAAATATATATCTCTATGTGTATAAATCCAAGTATAAATTATACTGCGTACATTAGATAGAATGTCTTTGAAACAATTGAAATACATAGATAGAAAGTTTAAGAGAGATCAATCTCCTACGTCATTTTTTTAATTTTTTTTTTTATGATTATCGCACTAAAATCACATGCTCTCTCAAATATGTGAAACGTGTTTTGCTTGTTTACTATTGCGCCTTGATAAATAAATTAGGCGCAATAATAAAACAACACGTCGGAAACATACAACAGAAATTTGTCTCATAAAGTACTGCTTCAAAAATATAAAAGCTACCGAAATAATAGATTGCTTTAATATAGTAGCAAAGGAATAATAATAAGAGCTCAGTAACATCATCACAAAGAACGTCTCTGTGCAAAAAACAAATTTTATTTAAAAGAAAAGGGCGAGAGATGTTTGATTGTTCTACTTTGAGTATAATACTTAGAGCAGGACACACACACACACACACTTGATATATATGTCAAAGAGTTGAAACGCGAAAAAGAACGCTCGTTTTACCATTCTTTGTGATGTTGAGCCTCAATAAATATACTTCACACATTTTAATAATCAACTGAAGTGCACCTATTACAGAAATCGAGCCAGTAACGAGAGTTTTTTCTGCCTCAGACTTGTAAGTTTACCTTTTTCTTTTTCTTTTTCTTGCTCTTATTTTGTTGCTGGCCATTCAATGGTTTTCCATTAGCCTGTCTGTGATCTGTCATATGACAGGATTTGGAGGAATGATTTGTAGTAAGGGAGCTGTTCTCAATTGCTTGTTCGGACTGACTGGCCAAATTGACAGACTTGGTTATAGAACAGTTTACAGCAAACTCTTTATTCTTGAGAGTACTTTTTAATTCTATCATTGCTTGAGATGCTAGAGAAGACTGCATTTCACAGACACGTTATTATTCTGACTGTTCACAAATAGAATTGATTGTGGAAACGGCAATTTATTCAAAGTTGCAACTCGGTCGACAATTGTATCACGATAAAAAGTAAAACCAAAAAAAAAAAACAAAACGAAAAAAAAAAACAAAAATAAAAACACGCTTGGCAAACATTTTACAAAATTGCCGTTTCAATCGACTATCTATAACAATTTTGTGCAATTAAAAACACAGTAATCAAAATGCCAATAAAGATACGTAATTAAAATGCATTTTGAAATGTACCTGAAACAAGAGAGTTGTTTCTTCATTGATACACATTTAAAAACATTTTTTATATACATACACACACATGTATGTGTATATAAAAAAGATGATGTGTTTGTCTGTGCGCGCGTTTGCGTGCACACATACACATACACACGCACGCACACACACACAAACACATTTTGCGGGAATACCAGCAAATTAATCACTGTGTTGTTTAGATTAGCAGCATGTAAGAAGAAAATTGCAGAATATAATTCATTCACAATAACATATTGCACGTTATATTTTATAATATATCTTCAAACAAATATGTGTAAATATATCTATAACATATGTAACTGTTTTCTCGAGTGTTAAATAATATTTATAAAAAATCTCAGTGAACACTAATATGTAAATAAATAATTTTTTTTCATTGCTTTCTACTTTCAATATTATAGCATACGTAAAATAATGTTACGGTCTTAAGAACATTATATTATTTCACACATACACACACACGTACGTACTTTTGTAGTCAACATACGAAAATATTCTAGTCTTTCAATTGCAATAATATATAGATATTGTTTCGTTGATATAAAAAATTTACATACGAAGTGTGTTGCACGAGTGTATTATATTAAACAAATTTAAAAACTTTCGAGCCGCGAGAGAAATTTTTCTAGAGTGATTATCACATCTCACAATTTTGACAAAACACGAAAACAGATGTCAAACCACAAATTATTTTACCACGTGTCTTTGTAATATATTCAGGTGACTTGATCAATCTCACATTTATATACGAAACATTTATACGTGCCAAGTTACTTCTGATCACTCAGTTATATACGTACACGCAAAAAGAACAGTAAGTTACGGTCACTGTTCGATCACATCAGACAAGTAATTATTAGTAATTATTTGCACGAGAATCTCATGATTAGTAAAGTGTCGTATAACATCAGCATTTTGCAATATTGCATTCTGCAATATCGCATTGATATCTCATGCTTTTATAATGAAGGACAGAACACTCTGTTATTATTAAACATAGCGAAAGCCGCACAGTATCTTCCAATGGAAAAGGCACTGTATAAATCGGTAAAAAGAAGGAATCAAATCCTCACTAGTAGATACTAACCTCAGACTGAAGAGAATCTGATGTGGGTGGACCGTTTAGTATAGACTGATCCGAGCTGCTACATCCGCCACAAATTTCGTTCTGAAATCAACAAACCGATATTTATTAGAAAAAATTTTTGAATGACATCAAAACGATTAGAAATACCTTGAGTTGAGACACTTCCTGTTGTAGCTGCGTAACAAGATCTTTCTCGCATACCAATCGCTCTTCGCTAGTTTCGACCAGAGAACGCAGTTTCGTAACCTCGGCATCCAACGTCGCCCTCTTGTTGCATTCTACTTCCAATTCCTGCGATAATCGCGCCTTTTCCTGAACATATAATTATGATGTGAAGAGTGTTCTTATAATAAAAATAAATCTACACAAAGTAGCAACAAGATGTCTTACTTCTTGTAATTGCTCTAAAGCGGCGAGGTCTTTGCTGTCCAATTCCTTAAAGGATGAATTAGTTTTTAACGAGGCCACATGTGATATTTCGGCACTATTCTGCTCCAATCGACTTTCCAATTCCTTCACCTTCTGTTTCAACTAGAACAAAAAAGCAAAAAATGTCAGACAAAACTTATATAAATTTCTATATCAGCTAAGAAAAATCTTCATCACTGTTTAGAACGACGAATTTTCCAACTCCTACCTCTTCGCTCGATGATAGTTTAGTTTGCAATGTGTTAAATTCTACTCTAAGATTCGCTATTTCGCTATCTTTCTGCTGAAGTAGTGACTGCCAACTTGTTTCCTCAGATTCTATTTGGTTTTGAAGTTTAGTAAGCATAGTTTCCTAAAAAAACAAGACAAAAGCAACACAATTAATAACAGTTAGACACGTTGCTTTTTCGAAGCACAATTCGATTAAAAAAAAATAAATAAATAAATAAAAAATTGTAAAATTCAATGAAAAACTTACCGTGTCGAAGATAATCTTTTTGTAATGTGTAACCATGTCTTGTAGACTCTTGTTTTGGTTCTCTAAATCTGTAGTTGACTGATTCTCTTGCTTTAATTTATTCAAAACAACACATACTTCACTCTCGAAAGTTTTGAGCCACTGTTCGTACGTTTTATCGGAAACCTTAATCTCTGGGAATATCCTCTGCAGAAGGGTTTTAGTTATCTCTTCCTGCTGCTCTTTGACTTTTTGCGTTGTCGTCTGCTTTTTCAAAAGATAAACAGATAATTTTTGCGTAAGATATTTTAGTTAAAAAATATTGTACTTTATAATAATGGTATAACACAAAATTACTTCATTCTTTTCATTACTCAATTTGGCACGCGATTCAGCAGCATCAAGAGCTTCCATCGCTTTCCAGTTCTTTGAGCGTAAATCCTGCGACGCAGAACACGAAGAAAGAACAAATAAGCTTTCGCTCTAAGCACATTTGTCAGTTTACGCGTTGTTCGCGAATGATGCGATGAACATTGTATGGAAGTATATATGAATTTTTTGCGACAAGAGAATTTGAGTGATGGAAACAACAAAGTGACGAAAACAACAAAAATGTCACGTGAAAAAGCAATTTCTATTGATCTCATTCTATCAACTTAAGCCGTGAGAAAAGATTTCAGATCGATAAAAATGCACACTCACATTATTTTTGGACTTCTGGACTTCTAAAGCTTCTTGCAGCTCTACAACGAGACGTTGACATTTCTTCGCCTCACTTTCCATTCGATGTAACCGTTCGTCTACGTTCTTGAGCTCTTCCTCTTTGCGTGCTAATGTCTCCGATAAAGTCGCCAGTTCTTTAGATAAATTTTCATTTGCTACAGGTAACACATCTGCATTGATGTCTTGCTCTTTATGTTTCTCTAAAATTTCTCTCTTCCTCGCAACCTCTATACCTAATCTATCGTTCTCTTCTTGCAAGAAAGTTTTCATGGATTCAATTTGCGCTTCTATCGATTTGCTTTCGTTATTCTGTAGTTCATTGGCCGCTACTAAACTTTGTAAAGCTTTCAACTCGGCTGCTATTTCGTTTGATTGTCTGATCTGAGTACGAGCCTTAGCTAATTCCGCTTGTGTAGCCGCTAGTGTTTCTTGCAATGTTTGCACTTCGCTTTGATATTTGTTCGTCTCGTTCTTCGTCTCTTTCAGATTACGCTCCGCTTTCTCGTAATCGTTCTTCGCTCCGTCCAATTCCATTTGTACAGACTTTAGTTTGGATTCCATAAGTGTCACGTGAGCGGTAGATTGCTGGAGATCGTTTTGCACGACATTAAGTAGATCGTGAAACTTCTTCAATTCCTCGTCCTTGTTGGTCAGTGTGGTTTTCAGGGCTGTAATTTCGGCTGCTTCCGACTTAGCTTCGTTTATCGAGACCGACAACTCCGACTTCAACTTCATCAGTTCGGCTTGAGTTTTACCGAGTTCCGCTTTCAAAGTGGCAGCTTCATGAGCCTCACTCTTTGAAACGTTTAATTCAGCTTGCAACGAGTTCAGTTGCTTCTGCAACTCCTGCTCGTGTCGATGTCCATTTTTCAAACGATGTTCCAAATCCGCCTGTATACGACGAGAGTCCTAAAAAAAATTACCAGAAACTTAGCACTAATACTATAAAAAGTGAGTTTCAATCAACATTTACTGTTGGCATCAACAAGAAAAATTGTAATTCTTACCTCAAGTTGTCTAGCTATGTCTTGCAGCTGATCGTTCGTTTCTTTGAAGTGCTGTAATTGTGATTCGGTATGCACCAATTGAGTCTGCATCATTCCCATTTGCTGGCGCATCATCTCCATTTCTGTGGCGCTACTATCGACAGTTGCCTGTAATTCATTTTGCAATTCCTGCACCTCCACGTGCTTCTGGGTCAGCTGAACCTTCAACGCGTTTTCATTGTCGCGTATTTGGGCAAACTGCACTTCCATCTGCTTACGCTGTGCCATCAATTCCTGCTGCAGGTGACCCTGAGTCTGCCCTTGATCTTCTTGCAACTTATGGATAATGGCGGTGTCCTCGCTCACTTTGGTCTGCAGTTGCTCGATTTGTCTGGCGAAACCTTGCTTTTCCGCGGCGTGAGTCTCCAGAATATGTTGCATTCGGGTGTTCAAAGTTTGATTCTCCGTAATCTTACAGTTCAGCGATTCCTCTAACTGTCTGATAGTCGCCGTAAGTCGAGATTTCTCGGTGGTGAACTCATTTCTCATCTCCTTCAATTTATTTTGCAAATTGACGCTCGCCTCGTGCTCATCGATCAATGCTTTTTCCTTTTCCGCTAATTGCTTCTTCAATTTAATAACGGGATCGGCGCGACCTTCCGTCCATTCAGAATGCTCTACCGGATTGTCTTGCTGCTTATTCAGAAGCTGATCGGTAAGAATCTGTATTTCAGAGCGACTTAGCTCCGCTTTTTTAATGCAGAGCATCAATAATTCAACGTTTACTGCATCTGAGTCTGCGAAAATTGAAGAAAATTTTTTATTAACGTTGAGCACAAAGAATTAACTGTTAAAACCTATCGTTGGAAATAGCACTGTGTTGCAAAAAGCACTGTTTAATATATGACACGTATAAAAAATAACACGAGTTTTTATTACTGTACATAATTATGCGCGAAGTGTCAATTTTATATCTAATCCATATTGAGATTACGCAAAATACACACATGTACATGTGTTTACATATGTACACTATCATAAGAATTCAAGCTATACAGGAAATAAGGTCGTATTTCCGACCAATTAAATTACAGGCTATAGAACGTAATGTCACTCAATATTGATTTATTCTTTATTCCTTGTGCTGTACTTCTGGTAAGAAACACACATACACACGTGCACGAGCGCATAGATCATCTTCAAGATATTGTACTGTTCATTAAAAACAAATAGGTTTATTATGCAAATCGGGGGCGACCTCATCGATTGCAATGGTCTCGAAGTGCGAGTGAAATGAACGTACGTGAAGAGGAAAAATCATCGAGTATGTTTGACCTAAACGTACGCTGGAAATTGCTTACCTCTAGATCTGAAGTTACAGATACGTCAAAAGATAAAAAGAAGATATTAAAAACTTACCAATCTGAGATACCAGATCGTTCTTTTTCTTCATTTTTTTAGACTCCTTGTTTGATAACTGCGGAATCGTAACTTCCTTGGCGACTTCTTTTACTTCTTTGACCGGTGTTTCCTTCTGCTGCTCCTTTGCTTCTTTCGCAACTTCCTTATTGGTAGAAGACGCATTCGTGTGAATATTGGCGTCTTGCTTCTCCTCTTTAGAGCTTTCATCTTTCTTTTTCACATCTTTATTATGTTTCTTCGTTTTGGTTGGAGTATCCTTTGGTGATTTGTTAACTTTCTCCACCGTTTCCGCATGAGCAGTCTGTTGAAGATTCTCTTTCTATTGTATAATGGATAAACTATTATTATTATTATTACTATTATTATTATTATTATTATCATCATTATTATTTTACCGCATCCAAGAGAATTTACACACAAAGAAACTCTCAAGAAAATATGAAACATACAATATATTCGTATTATTTTTGTTAGTTATGTATCACTTGGTTAGTCGAAAATACGTGCAGATTAATAAAACAAAAAAGTGGGATTTGTCAGTGATATGTAGTTAGTAAAAGGTACAATAGCAATCTTACAAAAAAAAACACTTCTGTTGTTTCGCTCTTAAGTGCAAATTTTTCAAACTCTCCGTTTGCAAAACCAATGCGCGTTGCGCGCGAGATATTCTGTAAATAGACAATCACTCACACTATGACTCCGTACGAGTTCAAAGTCATCCTTTGGATGAGTGAGGTCAAAATGGTTAGCCTCTGCCAAGGGAGGTTGCGAGGAACTTGATTCACTCACAAAGACTAATGGCTCATCTTTATTTATGAGGATTGGTTTTATCTTTTCAAGTTTCCCTTTCTTCTTATTGCCTTTGTTACTCTCCTAAGATTTTAATGCAGATGTACAATGTTCCCATATTATTTTGATCGAAAAGAGAGTGACAAGAAATATCTCAAGCAGCATGCTCGAAATTCTATGTTACATTATACAATAATGGGCATATACTTGCAATATAAACTCACTAAGATTTTAATGTGTGTGTATTACATACACACAATGATATAATTTAAATAATACAAAAAAGGTTTTTAAATAGATTTGTCAAATATCATATCATATATATATATATAGTACCACAAAATGCAAATATGCAATTACGTATAAATTTTAGTACTCATAAAAAAAGCTAATATACATATAATCACTGACAGATTATATTGTGAGCAATTTATTTTTTCACCTTATTATTATGTTTATTTTGTCCTCTTGTTGAGCATTTAAACCTGGAATTTACAAGTTTATTATATAATTTTTAGTGACTTTATATAATTTTTTTTTTTCATAAGAAAGATTATTTTTTGGAGATTTGAAAAAATATTACAAAAAAAATGTAAAAGTACTATTCTTTTTCTTTAAATAAAATATCTTTTATGCATCATTAAACATTATTGAAAATTTAGAGCAAATATTCAATCTTGTCAACATGTAAAAAACTGTGTTCTTCATGTCTGGCTCACAATCTGAATGATAAAGTAGTTCAAAAAAATAAAGCAATATCAATGAAATGTTGGATGTGATGAAGTTATTTTTAGAAAATAATCTTAAACTTCTAGAGTTATTTATCAACGAAATGTGTACGTAAGAAATATAATGAAGCGATAATGTTAATATTATATAATTAATTAACGTTTTTGTGTAATTTTTTCTAATTACTTAAAAACTATTCTCAATATACATATACATATCTCTGAAGATTTGTGCAAATTAACATTTCTAAATGCAACACGCTATACTTACAGTACGTTATTCTTATAAAAACAAATTATTTTATCCATGCAATATAATAAATAATCTTCACTAATATCCGTAGTAAAACTTACCAAGACATTGTTTATGTACACTCTACATAAATTTGTTTAATCAAGTTATAAAACAAAGTACAGTATAGAAGAAAATATGTCAAAGAGAAAATTTGGTTACAAAAAACAAAAAAAAAAAAACAAAAAAACAAAAAAAAACACAAAAGTAATCACTGAAATAAAAGTTAAAAGTGGCCACGTTCAGCTAAATGCAATTCAGTAATAATAAAACAAATGAAAGAGAGACAGTAAAACACAACATTAAAAGTGGCATTAACTTCATAACAAATCCATAAATTTCCTTTAAAAAAATACAGAGCATTTCCTACAAAAAAAATCAGAGTATTAATTTATATATAAAGTAATGTAAAACAACGTTTTCTCGTAAGAGAGAGGATTCTATTACTGTAAGTTGCTCAGTCTGTTAAGTTACTCACTGTAATGCCCATTATTATATAAAGCGCATAAAAACTTACAATTCTACGTATAAAATGTGTGTCCCTTTTGAATTACGTGACAATGAGAACAAAAATATGACGCACTTTGTTGTTAAATCTCTCTTAATACTATGTAGATACAATGATATGCCATATTGTATGTCATCTAGGTTATTATATTTCATGCATGAAACATGAAAAGTTCTTAAATAGTGCACAGAGATAACTTTATTTGTGACTCCCGTATTTTTAAGCGAATAATGTATAATTATACCAAATGTAAATATGATGTACCTGTGTAAATATACTCTATAAAAAGCGTACTATCAAATATATACGTATGTATATATAAATTTAACAAGTAATTGAAACTGTGCTGTTTACCTAGTGATTTTTAAAATTTTTATAATAAAGTTGCTCTTGATAATAAATGATACAGAAAAATGACAAAACACAGGCTCACCTGCACTGGTGGTTCAGGAGGCAATATTTGAGGAGTCTCTTCGAATTGCACATGATCTGGTTTTTCATCTTTATCTTCTTTATCCTCCTTCTCTTCTTTCTTCTCCTTCACTTTTTTCCCAGCCTTATTCTTGTGTTTCTTTTCTTTATTTTTATCCTTTTTATCTGCGAATGAAATAAGAAAAATTGATCAAAAGACACATTTTATAAAAACAAACATTTAGATTTCCAGATGAGGATTTTGAAAAAATTAACATACTTGATAGAAGATCATCAGGAAGTTTTCTCTGTTCTGCAATTGCTTCCTCGTAAGATGTTTCTCTTATACTAAACACTGATATACATAAGATGGCAGCAGCTGAGATGACAACAATCCCAATGCATATAAGTCCTGTCTGAACATCCATCTTTTTGGCTGTCTTATCTACAAAACAATTATCTTCAGCATTAATAAACTATATAAAGTAAGTTAGTTTAAAAAAAAAAAAAAACAAAACAAAAACAAAAACAAAACTAAAAGTCAAACACTATACAATGTAAACACTGTGACGAATAAAATTTTCTTATGATTTATACACATCAGAATTAATAGCTGAACATCTTGTAAAATGATTTTTGTATATTTTTGTAATTTTATTTACACACTTGAATATATATTACAATTTTAATTTCTCATCGTAAACTAGAAAAAGAGAGAAAAAAGACCCTTAATAAATATTTATCTGAAAGATAACAGACTTTTGAACACACTGTTATCGCAAAGATAACATTATACATACTTCGGCAAGTCTCATACTACTCTCTCCCTTTTCTCTTTATCTCTCTTTTTTTTTTGCTTTCTCTTTGAGTTAAAATTTTGAGAGCAAATTAAAAGAGAAAAAAAAATAAAAGAATTATGCGAGTAGATACGACAAGAGACAAAATAATCGCAAACATTTTTTCACGAGATAACATGTTGGAGTGGCAGATGCGACGAAGAATCCCGACAGTGTGTGCGGTCCAGAAAACAGCCGAATAACGGTGAGAAACTGTGCAACGTGTACGTGTTTCAAGATGACCAAGCGCAAACAAATGAAGATAAGCCAAAGGAAACGGGAAGGTCGTTTGCAGGCAAATTGCTCAAATTCCGGCAGATATCGACGCCAAATTCCTAGCGACGACGCGATGACATATGGGTGACACACCGCCTGGTCATCGACACATCTCGGAGATCTGCGCGATCAACTGTGGCGCGCGACGAGGAAAAACCGGTGGCGCAGGTCGGACACGTTTAACGGTGTGTTACGGCACACACCGGCATGCAGTCGCGTACCAGGTCCCCGACCACTTACCCGAGCGTGTTTACTTCACGTGGCGATGAATATCCCAGGACGCGTCGACGAAACGCAGAATTGAGAATGGAACGCGGAATTTCTCAGGCGCGCCACGACTCTTCCGCACACAGCTATCACGGGAAACGGGAGAACGTGCACACGACAGATAGCCGAGTGGCGCACATACACACGCACGGGATCCTCGGAGCACTATGGCGACCGGACATGGAGCGAGACTAGTGCTAGGCGCCGCAAGCCACGCCTATCGCCCGGTGACGATCCTGATTGGTGCGCGATCTCTGCCACGTATGCAACGCGACCGCCGCACGATGTCGACGCTCATCCGCGAGGACGATCGGCGTGCTTCCGTGTCGTCGTCGTCGTCTCCACGTCGGCGACCTCGTGTCGATGACAAAGTCGGCGACGTTGCGACGAATTAACGATTCGACTCGATTGGCGAACGTCCCGTGCTAGCTGCTCATATTAACGCATGTATATATGTATATAGGATCGGCATCCGAGAATTGATGATGCTCTCATTTAAGCAACGCACAACGAGAGATCGCACGAATGATCAACTCAGCAAAAGAAATTTGTAGGTTTTTGCGACGTTTTGTTCTTTAGATCATTCACTGATTGTTTTAGCTCACAATTGAACGATTAATAAACGACAAGCGATTATTTACCTTGTGTGTTGTTGATAATTCGATATTCACTATTTTCTACTCTTGCGATTTAAAATGGGAGTAAATTCTGATTGGTTACCTCCTTGTTGGAAACTTTTTTTTTCCCTTCTCTCAATTTTCATGTGGGGACGGATTTAAATCCTAGGACTTTTTCTCTCTGAGATTGGTGACTCCGATTTAGGAACTTTCAATCACGTTGGTTGATTGGCTGATTTGACTCTGCAATTGGTCAATTCCACGAGATCAGATACTTGCGTTTAATGTAGAACGGCCTTTGAGTTCCACTTTTGTGGAAATACGGCTAAAACCAACGGTTGAAACCGTCGTAAAAAATTTCAATAGGATGGCCGCTCTCAAGTTTCTCTCTGGTTCACATCTCAACTTCTGGTGAAGTGAAAAGTATATTTCTTAAGATTCGTATTTGATTGTCCAAATAACAACATGGCAGTAAGTATATATTTTCTTTATTATAATATAATATATTAATTTTGTTATTATAGATGAGCGGCACAATTAACACTTAATCTGTTTCAGGACGTTCAAAGACATTCGGTACACACATTAGTGTTTCGATCTTTAAAACGAACACACGACATGTTTCTGTTGAATCAAGGAATCTTACCACCAGTGAATCCTGCATTGTAAGTATCTCAAAATTGTGCTGCTCCGAATTTATTTATCTTCAACGATATGTAATAGATATATACTTGGTGAAATTGAGTGCGTTCAGACAACTCGACAGTTGCACAACAGTTGAGAGATAATCACTTCTGATTGGATCATATTTTTGGAACCGCAGTAGATTTTGAAGAATAGTCCTATCATAAGTGATGATCTCTCAACCATTGAGTTGTCTGAACGCACCCATTGTCAGAAAATACTTCAAAGTGGGCTGACACGAAGTAAGGTACACAAGTATTGGCTCTTTTCAGGCAACAAATAAAAAAGTCCATCAAGGCAAAGGATTGTTACGGTCCAGTATTAGAACAGGTGAAACAAAATAACGCCTTGATGGCCAAAAATCATCAAGAAAACAAAGCGGATCCTCCACCACCTGGAGATGAAACTTTTGGAGTGAATGCAGGAGCGGTTGTAGTATCACATATACAGAACACAAAAAAAGTAGATAATATAACCAATAGCGCGCTAACAATACCGCAAAAGAAAATACCCTCAATGGCAAAACCCAAGTGGCATGCACCTTGGAAGTTGTACAGAGTTATTAGCGGTCATCTGGGATGGGTAAGGTGTTGTGCTATTGAGCCTGGAAATGAATGGTTTGCTACCGGCTCAGCTGACAGAGTAATTAAAGTAAGTCTCCAATTTTTGTGAATTTATGTTCATTCAGTATAACATTTATATTCATATAGCCTATAGTTCAGTTGTTTATAATATAAATTTGTATAGAACAAGGTAATACAATTTTTACACAAGCTTTATATGTAGTTCCTTTTTGTAATTGTAGATATGGGACCTTGCAAGCGGTAAATTGAAAGTTTCGTTGACTGGTCACATAAGCAGCGTCCGCGGTCTGGCGTTTTCCAAAAGACATCCCTACTTGTTCTCTTGCGGCGAGGATAGACAGGTCAAGTGTTGGGATCTCGAGTATAATAAAGTAATCAGACATTACCACGGGCATTTATCTGCTGTATACTCTCTGGCGTTGCATCCCAGTATAGACGTTCTCGTGACAGCGGGACGCGATTCTACGGGACGTGTGTGGGACATGCGCACAAAAGCGAATGTCCACACGCTTGTTGGCCATACCAACACAGTGGCCAGTTGCATATGTCAATCCGCAGAACCCCAAATCATCACTGGCAGCCATGACTGCACAATTCGCTTGTGGGATTTGGCTGCCGGAAAATCGATCGCCACACTGACGAATCACAAGAAGAGCGTTCGAGCCCTGACATTCCATCCGTCCTTATACATGTTCGCCTCGGCGTCTCCAGACAATATCAAGCAGTGGAAATGTCCGGAAGGGAAATTCATTCAGAATTTATCCGGTCACAATGCCATAGTGAACTGCTTGGCTGTGAACGAGGACGGGGTTTTAGTCTCCGGCGCTGACAACGGTACTATGCACCTCTGGGACTGGAGAACGGGATACAATTTTCAACGGCTTCAGGCGCAGGTTCAACCCGGTTCGATGGACAGCGAGGCTGGGGTGTTCAGTATCACATTTGACATGTCGGGCACTCGCATGATCACCACCGAAGCAGACAAGACCATAAAGGTCTACAAAGAAGACGAAACCGCTGTAAGTGAAATCTTCTAATCACATCAATGTTCAGTGAATGTTATCTCCTAGTGGTATATATTTTGGCAATTTTATCGCCAAAAGTTTCTCGCACACTAACAGTTCTGTATTTGGATTTTTTCAGACGGAAGAAACACATCCAGTCGACTGGCGACCCGACATAATAAAACGAAGAAAATACTAAAGTTTTACTCACGGACTTTCTATTTATGTAATTTAACAATTATGTTATACAAAGTTATTCTTTGTATTCGATGTTTTCTTAATTAAAAAAAAAAAAGATGTTTAGTAAGAAAAATTATAGGGGTAAGAGATACAGTGATTGGCCACTTAAGGAAAACTGCGCTATATAGAGTAAATTATAAAATTAAATTTAATAACTTGAAGTAAATCTTCAGTACTACTAGCTCAAACAAACTATAACAATCGCAAATAAACTAATAAATTTATTAGAAAATTTG